TGGTACCTCAGTTGAACATGAAGCCACTGAATACTATACCTGTATGTTTAAACATATGCTTACCATAGCTTGGTAAGTAAAAGAAAGTAGTCTATCAAACAGCAGATACAGACACAGTTTAAGATTTTTTTTGTTTAAACATACATGCTCGTGTGAGCACAGAAATAGGATTAAAAGAATATTCAGTGAAAACACTATTATCCCTAGAGAATTTCAGCATATTTATATTTTGTTGCATTCCATGTTAATTTTGTTTTTTTTTAAAGACTTATTTATCTGAAAGGCAGAGTTAGAGCAAGAGCGAGAGAGAGAGAGATCTTCCATTTGATGGTTCACTCCCCAAATGACTGCCACAGACAGCACTGGACCAGGCCAAAGCCAGTAGCCAGGAGCTTCATTTGTGTCTCCCATGTGGGTGCAGGGGCACAAGCTCATTAGCAGGGAGCTAGACAGGAAGTAAAGCAGCTCAGACTCAAATTGGCACCAATGGGATGCCAGGATTGCAGAGGACAGCTGTACCCACTACATCACAACGTCAGCCCCTGCATTCCATGTTATTTTAAAAATATTTTCATTGTGTCTAACAATTTCAGATTTACCAAAAACTGTTAAGATAGCATGGATTTCTCATATAATCTGCACCAAGGTAGCCCTATTATTAGGGATCGTAATCTCTAATATTAACCAGTAGTAATACATTAACTAAAATTCACATCTTATTTAGGTTACTTTTTTTTTTTTTTTGCCTAATCATTTTCTTTTGTGTCCATCTAGGATACATTAGACTTAGTTCTTGGGTATCCTCAGACTCCTCTTGGTTGTGACAACTCTGAAAAGCACTGGGCAGGAGTTTTGTAAGATGCTCCTCTATAGGAATTCTTGTGCTGTATTTCTCAGGTTTGATTGGGGTAACAAGTTTGGAGGAGGAAGAACAGAGAAGTTAAGTGCCATTTTCATCATATCAGATGTCTGTATTACCAATCAGTGCCAGTCATAACCCCGAAGTACACAACCCTGAATGCTATGATCTTCAATGTTGAAATTCCCAAAAGTCAAAATCGCTAATGAGTAAAATCCCTTAAGTTTAAAAATCCCTAAAGATCAAAAATCCCCAAATAACAATCCCCAAAGATTAAAAGTGCCGGAGCCAGCACTGTAGCGCAACAGGTTAACGCCCTGGCCTGAAGCACCAGTATCCCATATGGATGCCGGTTCTAGTCCTGGCTGCTCCTCTTCCGATCCAGCTCTCTGCTGTGGCCTGGGATAGCAGTAGAAGATGGCGCAAGTCCTTGGGACCCTGCACCCACGTGGGAGACCCGGAGGAAGCTCCTGGCTCCTGGCTTCGGATCGGTGCAGCTCCGGCCACTGCACCATCTGGGGACTGAACCAGTGGATGGAAGACCTCTCTCTGTCTCTACCTCTCTCTGTAACTTTGTCTTTCAAATAAATAAAATAAATCTTTTTAAAAAAGAAATGAAAAGAAAAAAAGTGCCAAAGGCTGAGATCCTGAAAACTGCAATTCCCATACAGAAAGGGCTACATAAAAGGGCTGGAAAGCTGAATTCCGGGAGAGGGAGCAGTGTGATTTCCATTGTATGCAGGATAGTTCCGAATTATTCAATCAAGTACTACTTCTGCCCCTACACATATACTGTCATACTTGTCTTTTTTTTTTTTCTTTTTTTTTGACAGGCAGAGTGGACAGTGAAAGAGGCAGAGAGAAAGGTCTTCCTTTTGCCGTTGGTTCACCCTCCAATGGCCGCCGCGGCCAGCGCGATGTGGCCGGTGCACTGCGCTGATCCAATGGCAGGAGCCAGGTACTTATCCTGGTCCCTCTGGGGGCCAGCACTGTGGCACAGTAGGTTAACACCCTGGCCTAAAGCACTGGCATCCCATATGGGCACCTGTTCAAGACCCGGCTGCTCCACTTCCAATCCAGCTTTCTTTTATGGCCTGGGAAAGCAGTAGAAGATGGCTCAAGTCCTTGGGCCCCTGCACCCACGTGGAAGACCCGGAAGACGCTCCTGGCTCCTGGCTTTGCATTGGTGCAGCTCTGGCCATTGCAGCCAACTGGGGAGTAAAGCAGTGGATGGAAGACTTCTCTCTCTCTCTCTTTCTCTCTCTCTCTGCCTTTCCTTCTCTCTCTGCGTAACTCTTTCAAATAAATAAATAAGCCTTTAAAAAAAGAAAAACATCCTCTGTCAGAAAACAAAAAGAATTCAACACTCAGTGGCCCTGTAAACCAGAGAATAATTTTATGACCTACAGCCCTCAGGTTATACACTGTATCTCTGGACTTGTTCATCCTACGGATCTGCTATTTTGTATCCTTTGACTTACATATCCACATTATCTCCCCTCACTTTCCCATCTCCAATCCTGATATTTGCTAGTTTGTTCTTCATCTCTGTATATTTCAATTTTTTAAAAAAAGATTCCATATACAACTGAGATCATACAGTATTTTTTCTTTCTGTGCCTGGCTTATCTTAGCAGAATGTCCTCTATGCGCACCCATATTGTGGAACATAGCAAAACCTTGTTCTTTTTAGGGCTGAATCCTATTCAGTTATATACAGTTTCTTTATCTATTTATTAATCTGTCAGTGGACACTCAGGCTGTCTCCACATCTTGGCTATTGTGAAGAACGCTGCAGTGAGCCTGGGAGTGCAGATATCTTTCCAAGGTGGTGACTGCATTGCCTTTGGGTATGTGCCCAGAAGGGAGACTGCTGGGTCAGACGATAGTTCTATTTTTAATTTCTTTAGAACCTCCATATGGTTTTCTATAATGACTGCTCAGTATTTTAAAAGACAAACAAAATAGTTTGCAACATTTAAAAGACAGATTTCACATATAAATTCAGATTTCTGGCTGTTTTTTTTAAAGATTAGGATCTTATGCCATTAGGTTCACCTCCTTTCTTGGAATTTATATTGATTAAAGAGGACCTGCACTATCAGGTTTGTGGCACTTGCTTCCCACATAGCTTTTCTAACTTGTTACCACCCAGTCCTTACAGACAATACAGGTTTGCAATCCACACACGACCTCTTATGTTGGCTTAAGCTACAAACATTCTTAAATATTTCTATTTAAATGTCCTGAAGACTTCCCCAGAATCCACATATTCAAAACCAAACTTACTAGTTTTTTCTAAAACTGATGTTTTTTCTGTATTCCCTAAGTAATCCAAATAATGGAATTACACCTTCTTCCTCCTGCCCACAGCTTTTCCAGTCATGTGCAGAAACTCTGACATGCTCAGTTCTTTGCTTTCATTGTTCCCAACACTTTAAAGTCCGTTGCCTTCCTGACATCTGGAAACCTCTACCCACTTTCCAAAATGAAGTAAAATCATTTAGTTTCTGAAATTAAATCCTCTGCCTCAAGGAAGCCTTAGTTTCTCCTTTTCATGTTCAGGCACCTCAATGACATTGTATGCTGTCTGGCTTATACTTCCAGCTCTCCTGCTAGGCTAGGGATGCCTCAAGGGCAGGGATCATGCTTAGTCATCTTTATATCACCTAAGACAAAATGCATGGACTTTAATAAATGTGTCAAATACATTAAATTATACAAATCAATGAAAAGATTGTTTCATATTTCCCCTGCTTAAATTTTCTGTATGCCTTCAGTCTTTGGTAAAAAAAAATTTTTTTTTGGTGTTTACTTTGGATTGATTCTAGAATCTTTAAATTTTGTACCATATGACTACAAAATTAAATGGCTATGTCAAAAGAAAATGAATTGACTCCACAGTTAAAATGAGGATTTAAAAAAATTACCTTGTTTTAAATATCTAAGGATGCCTGGTATTAATTCTGGAAAAAATGTATAATTATTTATAAAAAAGATCCCATAGGGGCAGCTGAACAGCTGTCGAAAGATCTGGCACATCACGATGCCAGCCTGAATTTAATGACCTACATGTGAAGGGCTACATATCCAATTACTAATCCTCACTCTGCTACTCTTTGCCCTGATATGGAGGCAGCTGAAAAAAGATGCCCTACTAACGGATCAGAAATGGATCCAGACTTCACTGCCAATGCTCAGCTAACAGAGAACTTTTAGATTTGAGATGAGAGAAAAAGAGAGGTACCACAACAATGTGACAGCTGGCAGTTCTTAAAATAAAATTTGAGGGTTTAATGCAAGAATGAATTCAGTTTTTGTTTTTGTTTTACTAAATTCAGGAAAGTTCCAATTCTTTTAGAGAACCTCAAATTTTCAATTTAACTTTGTGTTCATGGAAGTCTTTAAACATATTCAAGTATGCCTTCAGACACACTATACTTCAGATTTCTTTCCATACTCAGAAGGTAGTCTTCTCCTAAAAGATTCAAATCTCATTCTTAACCTTCAGTGCCTACAATAACTACTTATTAGAAGTGGGCCAAGAAAAATAAATAATAAAGTAAATAGAAAAGGACAAGATGACTCAGTCTATATATAGCAAAAAGATTATATAAGGCCAAGCACTGTAAACAATGAAATGTCACCTGATATTTTGCAAAACAGCAGAGGAAAAATAGCTCAAGAAATGAATGGTGAGTAAAGTATATGGCTATCTTACTTAAGCCACTTTTTCAAAGAAGGTTTGGAGGAATTCTACATTTAAGCCCACTGTACCGTGAATTTGACTCATTTTTTAAATTTAAATTTCCACCTCAGTTATGTAAAAACACGGGATACTGGTAACACTTCCAATACTTTAGAAATAATTTAGTTAAAAGACACTTTCCTCTTTACCACAGAAGTGCCTTTCCTGTTTCCCATTTTCAATTTTTATAAGGGGTTACCTTAGTCCCCTTTCAACGGGTATGCAAATGAATATACGCCCACAGGTACACAGTTACCTCCTGAAGCTGGAACTACACACACACACCGTAACCACCCCCCACTCCTAATCTCTTTACTCCAGGCCCGCCCCCTTTAAACCCCTCCTCTTTCTCCCATTGCAGGCCCGAAGTTGGCGCACTTCGATGACGTAGGACGTAACCACCGCGGTAGCCGCCACCACGCCCCTGCCTCTGGGAGTTGAAGTTTCCGACGGAGGATTCCTGAGCGGTGTCGAGGAACACTCCAGAAAGGCTTATCTCTGCGAGCGTTCCTGCTCCCCATCAACACCTCAGCAAGGTAACTCTCCGGGAACTGTGGCTGGTTTTCGCCTGCTCTTTGATAGCTTTGGACGCACAATAAGCGCATGCCATGCTGTCCTCGACTGGCAGCAAGGGCTTCCGGGGGAAAGGGGAGTGGGGCCGAGAAACTGCTAGTAGCGCGGCTGTTGCGGAAGGAAGTGACGTCAGATTGCGCCCCCGCGGCCTGTGTGGCCGCTCTCTGACTCGCTGGTTGCAGCTTAGTCCCGCCTCTCGAACGCGTCCGCTGGCGCGCAAGTCCGAGGCGTGGACTGCAGAGTGGGCGAGGCTCTGCCTCCCGGCTTGGCGGGGTTACGTTAGTTGTGTATTCTGAGAGTGGGGAGCCAGCCCGTAGTGTGTAAGGGCGTGATTTTGTAAAGGATGACTAGAGGAGGAGACCTGGGCCCTGGAGGGTCGGAAAACTACTTGGGATTCTGCCACTTTGTGGCCAGTGACGGGGGCAAGTCGCCCACTCCTTTAATCCTGCTTTAGCTTAGTTTTCCCCTGAGGGAACGTGGCGGAGTCCTGGGAGAAGTCGTCGCAGGTGCTGCTAACCCCGCTGTGGTGCCCCAAGGACGATTTTTAAGGAAATAGAGGTGTTAGCTTTATTCCATTGAAAGCCTCTAAGTTTAAACATTGAGAGTTTTAAAAATATTTTAGTATTTATTGCAGAGCTGCCAAGAGGGTAAAAACATCTCTTAGTCAAAACAAAACAAAAAACTTTACCCCTTTTGTCCCAATCCTTCGTCCAAATTAAACATCAGCTTTCGCTGCTGCAGATTGTAAAGGGTGATTCCGCCGCTCTCGCTGTCAAGTCTTTGATCCCATTCTGCAATCATTCTTGATTTGTTTGGATCTTTGTGGAAGAGACTTACCGAGACGGTTTATATCATGCACTTCAACTCATGCAAAGGTTTTTAACCTTTTCACTTTTATTGATTTGTGATGTGTCTATCCAGCCTTAAGCTTTGCTAAGAAACAGGAAACCCAGGGAATGGTGAGCTAAGATTTTTTACATATTCATCGTATCCACAGCAAATGGCCTGAGTCATCTATTGGATTCTTAGCCTTATAAACCCTATCTCTTATGAATGCACCACGGGATTTTAGAAAAATTGTTTGCTAAAGTAGAATTTCTCACCTATTTAATTGTTTTAAAATGCCATTCTTAAATAGACGTGAAACTTGGTTTAATGAGTGAAAATACGTTATGAGCATCAGTGCATGTGAGGGAAGAACACAGAACACTTTGCATGGAGATTTTGTAAATTATGGCCCACACGAAAATAATCAGAAAGCAAGTGTACTTAGTAAAATACCAAACTGCTTATTAGTTAATCCAAACAAGCTAGTACGTAATGAAATGTTTTAGTGTAGACAGTTGGAGTTGGTAAGAAAGTATACTGTGAGCAATAATTTATAATCAAGCTAGCTAACAAAACGCTTTTGCTGTATTCCACTTGGGTCTCAGTGGGTCTGGCTTGTTAAATAAAGCTTAAAATTCACTTGGTATGGTGTGTCTTATTAATTGGAAATAGTTTTAGAATATTCATGGTGGTGATGTTGACTAGCTCATGAACTTTCCTTGTATTTGATACACTGTTTAAAAGCATTACTGTGGTAGATCAAATTAAATGTAATGAGACTTCTTAGGAAAGGCTAAAGCTCCCCCTGGTGTACATAAGCTATAACAACACATTTCTTAGCTTTAATTTTTTTTTTCACTCTATAGAGCTTATCAACACTTGGAGTATTTGAATATCGCCAGGGAACTAGCTGACAATGATGCCTCTGATAAACAGAAATGTGCTCTCCTGGAATATTATTTCGTGAAGAGAGTACTTTGTTTCCCATGGATATTAATTGTGTTTTTAAGTTTACAAACATCAGTAAATCTTAGGTTTTCTCTAGCCTTATTCTTTGAATATATGCAATGCTGAAATTTTTTTAAGGTACTGTGTATGGAAAGTAAGTAAAATAAAAATCCTGGGAAATCACAATACATGTTTAAAAATGTTCTTCCTTCTAATTGTTTTAGCTTACTGAATTAACCCTGTTTCCATTTTCTTTAACACCTATCTATTTTTAGACTTAATAAAAAGGGTACATTCAAAGGTATACATTTGTGCTAATTAGTTTTTTGCTTGTATCTCTCATTCTGTATCCAAGTCTTAGCTGCCTCGCCATTATTTTTCTGTTCTTTCTCTATCTGCATCCTGGGTGAGATTGTCAGGGTATCTTCTAACTAATCAATTATCTCTTGGGCTCCAGGTAATCTGGAGTTTTTCTCATCTATTGAAATTTTTATGTCTTCATTTACTAGTTTTCTTATGGTTTCTTTTTCATGGATTCTTGTTTTGCTTCCTCACCCCCCCCCCCCCATGCCTGGTTTTATGTCACAATTTCCTGTTTTTACTTTTACGGTTCTTATTTCTTTAGATTTCTTTGAAACATTCCAGCCAAAAATTTTAAAATCATTTTAAGATTGTACGATTAGAGACTGGTGCTGCGGTGTAGCAGGTAAAGCGTGGACTTGTTTCCTGATTTTATTTTCTTAGTGCTTTTTGTAATTTTAGTTTGAAGATGCATCTTGAATGAAATTATCACCTCCCCTCTCCTATCTATGTCTCTGCAACTGATTCATATCCACAAGATTTTGTGATGGTTCCCACCCAGGATCCTGTTCCATGTTTCAGTATGCTGAAGATGTAATGTGGATAGTTCAGATTCTAGTCATGCAGTTTTAGAGGTTGATGTGTCACTTCATGGTTGCATAAGGTTGTGACAGAAAGGCTGTATCTGCTTCCTTCAGGCCTACCTATGTGCTCAGTGTCTTGGGAGCCATAGTGTTTCAGTCTTTTTCATGGAACAAGGAGGCCCACCCCATGCTGGTCTGTTTACTTCTCTCTCATCCCCTGCCTGTTATTACTAACATTATTATTATTGTTAGTCTCCTCCCTTTGTTAAAATTAGGGAGACTTAAAAGCTGCCTTTGCCCAGCAGGTCCAACAGGAATGCTATCCACCCACTTCTTGTTTCTGGTTTTGAGTGACACTGTGCTCTTTTTATTTCTCCTTTTATATTTCATCTACAATTTCATGTATTTTGAGTCAGGATGCTTCAAAGCATGAACTTTTGGCAACCACCTCTAGAAAGTCTGAGTTTTTTAATGTAATGGCATAGCTATAAAAGTGGACAATTTTTTCTTGTCTTGTTAGTAAAGAAAGCAAAAAACCATCCAATAAAACTACAGCTTAAATTATGCTCGTTAAGGTTTTGTCCTATAGCTAAATTGTGGAGTTTTCTTTTAGATGTTAGCTGCTTTGCGTAGACTTGCTGGCTATCTTTGTAAGAAAGAAGAGTTGGAATTTCTCTTAACACCAGTAGAACATTTGGTGGCATCATGTTTAGGGATAAATAACAACTTTGTTTTTAAGCTTTAGTGCTAAGTCTGTTAAAGAGAAAACAAAGCAGCGTCTCTAGCCTTTGCCTTATCTGAAATCAAATCTATTTCTAGTCAGTAGGTATAAAGACATTTGTGGTGAAGTCTAAATAAAGATATTTGAGATAACCTTGAACAGTCCACAAAACCAACTGATTACAGACTCTTTTGTGTCCCTGTTTTGTTTTTTTAGTCATGACTGATTGTGGACTATTTACAGTTGCATGTTTACAATGAAATATATTGGAGAACACAGCCAAATTCGTAGTCTGCATTGTCCAAAGTTTGTAAATCTTAAAACTTTTGTCAAAACCTATTCTAAATGTATAACCACATAATGAATTACACTCTTACTTCCCTTGTTCTGCAGCGTTACAGAAGATGATAGAAAAGATGCTTTCCAGCTCTGTAAAAATCTTTCTCCTATAAAAACTGTATTTTCATTATATGAAATTTGAAAAATCAGAAAACCATGAATAACAATTGAACATGGCTGGTGCTGCGGCTCACTTGGCTAATCCTCTGCCTTGTGGCGCCGGCACACTGGGTTCTAGTCCCGGTCGGGGCACCGGATTCTGTCCCGGTTGCCCCTCTTCCAGGCCAGCTCTCTGCTATGGCCCGGGAGTGCAGTGGAGGATGGCCCAAGTACTTGGGCCCTGCACCCCATGGGAGACCAGGATAAGCACCTGGCTCCTGCCATCAGATCAGCGCGGTGCGCCGGCCGCAGTGCGCTGGCCACGGCGGCCATTGGAGGGTGAACCAATGAAAAAAGGAAGACCTTTCTCTCTGTCTCTCTCTCTCACTGTCCACTCTGCCTGTCAAAAAAAAAAAACAAAACAAACAATTGAACATGTTTGTGTGTTTGCTTTTTAAAATAAGTGGATGTAATATGTATAATATATATTTATATATTATTTATAATATATATTATTCTATATTATATATATTGTATAATAATAATGTATGTATAACATACATATTAATCCACTTATTTGGTTTTCTTATTTGTATAAACATTTTCCGTTATGATAAAATAGTTTTGGAAGTGTGATTTTTCCTGACTGCTTAGTATTCCTGGCCCATGTTAGATGAACCATAATTTATATGCTCCCCTTTTGATGACATTCAAGTCATTTCTAACATTTCATTATTAAAAAAATAACACCCCAGGGTCCAGCGTTGTGGTGTAGTGGGTTAAACTGTTGCCTGTGATGCTGGTATCCCATGTGAGTGCTGTTTCAGGTCCGAGCTGCTCCACTTCTCATCCAGCTCCCTGCTAATGTGCCTGAGAAGGCAGCAGAAGGTTGCCCAAATACTTGGACACCTGCCACTTGCATGGGAGACTTGGATAGAATCTCAGGCGTCTAGCTTTGGCCTGGTTCAGCCTTGGATGTTGCAGCCATTTGAGGAGTGAACCAGTTGGTGGAAGATCTCTCTCTTTCTCTAACTATGCCTTTCAAATAAATAAATAAACCATTTTTAAAAAGGCACTGAAGTAGGCCGGCGCCGCGGCTCACTAGGCTAATCCTCCGCCTAGCGGCGCCGGCACCCCGGGTTCTAGTCCCGGTCGGGGCGCCGGATTCTGTCCCGGTTGCCCCTCTTCCAGGCCAGCCCTCTGCTGTGGCCAGGGAGTGCAGTGGAGGATGGCCCAGGTGCTTGGGCCCTGCACCCCATGGGAGACCAGGAAAAGCACCTGGCTCCTGCCATCGGATCAGCGCGGTGCGCCGGCCGCAGCGGCGGCCATTGGAGGGTGAACCAACGGCAAAGGAAGACCTTTCTCTCTGTCTCTCTCTCTCACTGTCCACTCTGCCTGTCAAAAAAAAAAAAAAAAAAAAGGCACTGAAGTGTATATACTTGTACATATTTGTTTACATTTGTGATTAATTTATGGGACTAAAAGGAATTAAATTACTGGACCAAAGGGTCTTAATGTTTTAAAGCTATTGAAACATGTATGTGTGTTGCCTTCTGGAAAAATTGTACCATTATCTCCAGTGGTATATGAAAATACCCCATTTCTTCAGGCTTTACCAACATTGTCAGTGAATGGTCTTAAATGATATTTAAACAGTCTTTGCCAGTACATAGATTGAATTGTCTAAATTTGCATTTCTATTCATTATTGATATGGCTGAACTTTAATCATCTCTGTTAATCATTTGGGTTTGTTTACTTTTTTGTGTATCTTAAATTGTTCATGTCAGAAGTTGGTTTTCCATTTTTCAGAGGCACCAAATGTCATCTGAAATGTCACCAGCATTTATCGAGACTTCTAATGTTGAAAGAAAGGAAGACTTAGGTGAAGGTCAAGAGGAGAGCCAGAAGCCAGAAGGTGAAGGGGTTGAACCAATATCTAAACGACAAATGAAGAAGCTAATAAAACAGAAACAGTGGGAGGAACAACGAGAACTCCGCAAGTATGTGTGCCAAAATGTTTTTGTTCAATCCCTGTTCGGAAATATGGGATGTTTGATTTGGCAGTCTTTTTTTCTTTCTTTCTTTCTTTTTTTTTTTTTTGACAGGCAGAGTTAGAGACAGACAGACAGAAAGATCTTCTTTTTTCCGTTGGTTCACCCCCTAAGTGGCCGCTATGGCCAGTGTGTTGCGGCTGGCGCGCTGCGCCGATCCAAAGCCAGGAGCCAGGTGCTTCTTCCTGGTTTCCCATGCGGGTGCAGGGCCCAAGGACCTGGGCCATCCTCCACTGCCTTCCCGGGCCACAGCAGAGAGCTGGGCTGGAAGAGGAACATCCGGGACAGGACCGGTGCCCCAACTGGGACTAAAACCCAGGGTGCCGGCGCCTTAGGTGGAGGATTAACCTAGTGAGCTGTGGCGCCGGCCTGCCACAGTCTTCTGACATACTAAGTGTAGCTGTATTAATTAAGCTGGGGGCCAGGCACATCATTAGCTAACTCTGTCAATTGGCTACTAACCTTGTGTGTAAGTTGAATTATTATTTTTAGCAATGTTGATAAACTGGCACTCAACACTTTTTCTCACCCAGAACCTGTTTTGAGTAGTGGCATCATTTTTCAACTCAGATTATATTAGTCAATTTTTTTGTTACTATAATAATACCTAAGGTAAACTAATTTTATAAAGGGAAAAAGTTTATTTAGCACATAGTTTTGGAGGCTGAAAGTCCAGACAGCATGGTGCAAGCTCTGGTGAGGGCCCTCCTTGGCTGTATAATGTCATTGGTAGGGATGCACATGGGAAGACATGTCTCATCACAGAGTAGGAAGCTTGAACAAGACTAGAGTCCTGTAATCCCTCCAAGCACCTGCTCCCAGTGACCTAAGGACCACCCACTAGGCCCTCACTCTTCAAAGTCCATCATACCTCCCAAAACTTCCACCCTGAGAATCAAGTTCCCAACATGTGACCCTCGGGTTATAAACCATATCCAAACCATAGCAGGATTATAGTTAGTATTCATGTCCTAGATATAGACTAAAAATAACCAACTCAGATCAAGTTTTGGCCTACTGTTTATTTTTCTGGAACAGATTTTGGTAAAAGTAGTTATGCTGGGGCCAGCACTGTGGCGCAGTGGATTAAAGCCGCTGCCTGCAGTGCTGGCATCCCATATGGGTGCCAGTTCAAGTCCTGGCTGCTGCATTTTTGATCCAGCTCTCTGCTATGGCCTAGGAAGCAATAGAAGATGACCCAAGTCCTTGGGCTCCTGCACCCACATGGGAGACCCAGAAGAAACTCCTGGCTCCTGGCTTCAGATTGGTGCAGCTCTGGCTGTTGCAGCCATCTGGGGAGTGAATCAGCACATGGAAAACCTCTCTCTGTCTCTGCTCTCTTTGTGTAACTCTTTCAAATTTTTTTTTTTAAGTAGTTAGGCTAAAGTTGTTACTACATAATGACAATTTACTGAGAGAACAAACTATAGTTAATGTAGATTAGAGAAAATGTGTGTGTGTTTTGCTTTTTTGAATTTTTGCACTATAAGAATGTTGCTTGAAAATCATGTAGGGAATAAATAATGACTATCAAATTTAGTCTTTATATGATTTTCTTAGGGTTAGTGTGGTACCAATAATAAATGAAAATTCTTTAAATAGCTTTAGATTGTGTTTGCAAACTGATTTCCTTCCTGTTAAATGGACTATATAAAATTGCTAATATTTGACCATTTTGACCCATTGAAGTAGCAATTTCATATGATTCAACTGATGATTTTAAAAATAATTATTTTTTGTCTTTTTAGGAGAATATTGTGAATAACTGAATTATAAATAACAAAAAACATTTCAATTACTAATTTTAGACAAAAGCGGAAAGAAAAACGCAAGAGAAAAAAATTAGAGCGACAATGTCAACTGGACTCAAACTCAGATGGAAATGACAGAAAACGTGTGCGAAGACATGCTGTTCACAGCACACTCCGCCTTGTCATTGACTGCAGTTTTGATGACTTGATGGTATTAAAGGTATGGTGAATCAGTCAGAAGCATCCTATAGGAGCACTAGGCTGAGTCATTTTTGTTTTAGTATGTATTAACACTATGATAGAAATTTGTGTAGTGAAATGCATCTTTAATCAAGTTTTTCAGTCTGCCCCCTAAATTAAATTAGCTAATAAATTTTATGCATATATATGTACTGATGTGTATGTATGTATATGTATTAACAGGGGAGTGAGAGAGACATGCACTTTGTAATTAAATGATAAAACCCAGTAACTGCATATTAATCATAAAATATGTGGGGTTTTTACCATGCTATTGTTAAGGTGTGAAAATAGTAATAGTATGACTCTACAAGAGGTTTTTTTTTTTTTTAAGATTTATTTATTTATTTGAAAGGCAGACTTAGAGAGAGAGGCAGAGGCTGAGGCAGAGATGTACCATCTGCTGGTTCACTCCCCAAATGGCTGTGATGGCCGGGTCTGGGCCAGGCTGAAGCCACGAGCCAGGAACTTCTGGGTCTCCCATGTGGGTGCAGGGGCTCAGGGACTTTGGGCCATCTGCTGCTGCTTTCCCAGGCACATTAGCAGGGAACTGGGTTGGAAGTGGAGCAGCTGGGACTCAAACCAGTGCCCATGTGGGATTCCAGCATTGCAGGTGGCACATTAACCCTCTGTGCCACAGCACCAGCCCCTGTTGGTTCTTAAGAAATGTTTTTATGGGCTGGCGCCGTGGCTCACTAGGCTAATCCTCCGCCTAGCGGCGCCGGCACACCAGGTTCTAGTCCCGGTTGGGGCGCCGGATTCTGTCCCGGTTGCCCCTCTTCCAGGCCAGCTCTCTGCTGTGGCCAGGGAGTGCAGTGGAGGATGGCCCAGGTGCTTGGGCCCTGCGCCCCATGGGAGACCAGGAAAAGCACCTGGCTCCTGGCTCCTGCCATCGGATCAGCGCGGTGCGCCAGCCGCAGCGCACCGGCTGCGGCAGCCATTGGAGGGTGAACCAACGGCAAAAGGAAGACCTTTTTCTCTGTCTCTCTCTCTCACTGTCCACTCTGCCTGTCAAAAAATTTAAAAAAATAAAAAAAAAAGAAATGTTTTTATCATCTCACATTTTAAATGGATAGAAACCGTGAAGTAGTGGCTCACTTGTAGAATTTTAACATAGTAATTTTATTAGGATATAAGGAATTCAAATGAAAATTATCCAGATGGACTTGTATTGTACTTATCTAGTGATCTCTTCTGCTTATTCTGTTCCTTTAAGATCATGGAATGGCCATAGATGATTTTATTAACTTTGCTTTAAAAATTGCACTCTATCATAGGATATTAAAAAACTTCATAAGCAGATTCAACGATGTTATGCAGAAAACCGACGTGCACTGCATCCTGTGCAGGTATGTCTGAAGAGTTTAAAATAGTTTTGGGTCCCCTTTTATATCTTTTTTTTTTTTTTTTGCCAGGCAGTTAGACAGTGAGAGAGAGAGAGAAGTTCACTCCCCTAATGGCCGCTATGGCCGGCGCTATGCCTGTCCGAAGCCAGGAGCCGGGTATTTCCTCCTGGTCTCCCATGCGGGTGCAGGGCCCAAGGACCTGGGCCATCCTCCACTGTCTTCCTGGGCCACAGCAGAGAGCTGGACTGGAAGAGGAGCAACTGGGACTAGTACCTGGCACCCCAACCGGGACTAGAATCCAGGTGCCAGTGCCACAGGTAGAGGATTAGCCAAGTGAGCCACGGTGCTGGCCCCCTTTTAGATCTTAATTACAACTGTCTGCAAGGTTATCACAGATAAACTTAATTGATGACTACTTGAAAAATGTTTTAATAGAGGAAATGGGGAAAGGGGTATATTACTACCTCATTGTATTACTATCTCACAGTTTTTGTTTTGTGAATTTGAAACTATTGTGAAATAAGATTTTAAAAAATAGTAGTCATATAAAAAAGAAGGTACAATGACACCTCTTTTCACGTATGTCATGCAGAGACACGCTTTTCAGTCTTCTACACATTGGTCTTCCACAAATGGCCAATTCTCTGCTGTGCAGTCTTCATTATAGGACACCACAGATTTTGGTATCAGTTCCTCAGCTTTTGTTTTGTTTTGTTTTGTTTTTTGGACAGGCAGAGTGGACAGTGAGAGAGAGAAACAGAGAGAAAGGTCTTCCTTTTCCGTTGGTTCACCCCCCAATGGCCGCTGCGGCCGGCGCACCACGCTGATCCGAAGCCAGGAGCCAGGTGCTTCCTCCTGGTCTACAGCGCAGGTGCAGGGCCCAAGCACTTGGGCCATCCTCCACTGCACTCCCGATCCACAGCAGAGAGCTGGGCTGGAAGAGGGGCAACTGGGACAGAATCCTGTGCCCCAACCAGGACTAGAACCCCGTGTGCCGGCGCCACAGGTGGAGGATTAGCCTATTGAGCCGTGGCACCAGCCCAGTTCCTCAGCTTTTTATTCCTTCCAGTCCTGGCGCAAAGTGGGAGAGAAAAGTTAGGGCAGGCACAGGCTGCTGCCAACCACAGGTGACCTGTGGTACTTCTGTATAGGTTTTGTCTATTTAAAGGATTTTGTTTTCTTTTGAGTCACTTAAGCTTAAGCTGGGTAAAGGAGTGATTTGTGAAACTGATAGGTTGCTGTTAAGATCTTTTTGTGTGAATTCTCAGTGACCTAAAAATTAACACCAATGTTAAGAACCAGGAACTCTTTTCTTTTTTTTAAAGATTTATTTTTTTGAAAGAGTTACACAGAAAGGTCTTCCATCCGCTAGTTCACTCCCCAGTTGGCTGCAGTGGCCAGAGCTGTGCCAATTCGAAGCCAGGAGCCAGGAGCTTCCTCCAGGTCTTCCCACATGGGTGCAGGGGTCCAAGGACTTGGACTATCTTCCACTGCTTTCCCAGGCCATAGCAGAGAGCTGGATCGGAAGTGGAGCAGCCAGGACTTGAACTGGTGCCCATATGAGATACCGGCACTGAAGGCAGCGGCTTTACCTGTTACGCCACAGCGCCAGCCCCCTAGAACCGGGAACTCTTAATAAATACTTTAGTTAGATATTTTGTTTTTACCAAGTGATAGTGATTTGGTATTTTTACATTTTGTATTATATTTAAAAATTTCATATCACAGTTCTATGACAGTTCTTAAATCTTCATTTTCATATGTAATAGACTCCTTATGACCCTAGATTCAGACTTAAAATAGGTGTCAGAGTTTAGAATCAACAAAAATTATGAAGATTTTGGACCGATAAGAAAATAACAATGGTGGCAAAAAAAAAAAAAAAAAAAAAAAGGAATGGGTATCGAAACATCACGTGATACCCAGTGCCATAAATAAGTGTAGTTTCTATGTGTCAGCTAAAAAAAAAAAGAAAAAAAGGTATCAGGAACTTGACATGGAAGCAGGAACTTTGCAGAGATGTAGCCATTCTAGAAAATTGGATAAAAACATAAACAGAACATTGAAATTAGTATGTTATGAGGTACATGCCAAAAAACACTTCTAATCTACCACAAATTTTATATATGTTCAGTGCATGTCAGAAGTTTTTCTAGATTGAGAATGTTTTATATTTCATTAATGATCAGATGAGTGTGTGAGAGAAATAAAATATTGAATTTAAATGGTCACTTGCTGTCTTTCTCTACCTGCTGATCTCTTACCAGTTTTACTTGACAAGCCATGGAGGCCAGCTGAAAAAGAATATGGATGAAAGTGACAAAGGATGGGTCAACTGGAAGGTGATTAAGATAATTTCTCATGTAATTCCAAGTAGTTTTATACTTCTAAAAGTCTATATTTTTAACCTAAATTCTCTAAAGCGGTCTTCAAATCCTGTGTGTTGCTGAACCAAAGTGTAAGGTTACAACTGGGAAAAATGAAAGAAGAGAGTAAGGTGTTTTAGTTTGTTCTTGCTTCCCTTGAATCTTAACCTTCTGTCTTATGCCAACTTTTTTTTTTTTAAAGATTTATTTATTTATTGGAAAGGCAAAGGTACAGAGAGGCAGAGGCAGAGAAAGAGGAAGAGAGAGAATTCTTCCGTCCTCTAATTCACCACCCAGATAGCTGCAACAGCCAGAGCTGGGCCGATCCGAAGCCAGGAGCCAGGAGCTTTTTCTGGGTCTCCCTTGCGGATGCAGGGGCCCAATGACTTGGGACATCCTCTACTGCCTTCCTAGGCCATAGCAGAGAGCTAGATAGGAAGTAGAGCAGCTGGTGCTTGAACCGGCATCCATATGGGATGCTGACACGGCAGGCAGTGGCTTTACCTGCTGCACTGTAGTACCGGCCCCCTATTGGCAAATTTATATTGTGTTTTTTAAAAAATAAAACAATTTTAAAGGTCTTTATGTAATTTCTACCTAGCAAACTAACTGTGCGTTATCTGTAAAAGGGAAGTTAATGCTAAAATTCAAAAGTGTGCCTATATTCTGTATCTTCTAAATCTGTACTGTTTAGTATTGGACTCCTTTAATTTGATAGCCTGAATTGTGAGTTTAGATGTGCTGTGAATATGAAATACATGCTGAATTCAAAAAGTTAGTACCTAAAACAAAAAAGAGAGAGAGAGAGAATATAAAGTATCTCCTTGGGGTTGGTGTTGGCTGCAGTAGGTTAAGCTGTGACTTGCAACACTAGCATGCCATTCCATAGTGCCAACTCAAGTTCCAGCTGCTCTTCTTCTCATCTCGATTCCTGCTATTACTTCTGGGAAAGCAGCAGATGATGGTCCATGTGCTTGGGCCCCTGCTACCTTTATGGGAGACCTAGATGGAGTTCTTAGTTCCTGGCTTTGGTCTGGCCAGTCCCTGGCTGTTGTAGCCATTTGGGGAATGAACTAGCAGATGGAAGATCTCTCTCTCTCTCTGTCTCTCTCCATCTCTGATGCTCTTCCTTCCAAGTATCTAGGAGAGTTTTAAAAACGCTCCTAGATAATTTTTTAAATGCTATATTTGAGATGATACCATTTGTGACATATTGTGTTAATGTATTTTTTTTTTTGACTGAGAGAGACAGAGAGAAAGGTCTTCCTTCCGTTGGTTCACCCCCCAAATGGCCACTCTTTTTGTGACTTGTTAAATTTATGTATTGTTCCATCAGCTTTCCAGAGAGATATGTTCACCGGTTTCTTAATTATTCACATCCTTCTTGGAACCTTTATTAAGAATATGTATAGTGTATGGCCTTTTATTACTAAGTTACACATTTTTAGTGAGCATTCTGCTTCATTCTTGTTTCATTAAAAATTATTGGATAAATGTCATTGCAGCCTGGTGATATATCTCCTTTTATAAAATTAGTGTGGCTTGCAAAATCCTCATTGCAAACTAGTTTTTGTATGTGTATCTTGGTAGATACAAATGAAAATAATTGGAAAATGGGAATAATCAATTTTGTAAGCAGTTTATGTTTGATGATTCATGTTAATGGAGAGAAAGTAATTGGAGAAGACACATTTGGCTGAGAAATGTGAACAAAGATGTGACAGTAACAGTGCTCTGGTTTTGTTGGAACAGAGATAAGATTAGAAAGATAGATTAGTGTCCCAGTCAGGGGAGAGTTATGAAGTTAAGAGTTTGAATTTTATCCTGCAAAAAAAAAAAAAAAAAAAAAATTAGTGTTTTTCGAAAATGAGTCCACAGTCAGGGTGTGAGGGTAGTAAGCTGGAGGGGGCTGAGGCCAGAGACAGGAAATAAAATTAGGAAGCTGTTTAAATAATTGAGGTAGTAGGTGATAGTGAATTGAAGTAATAGGTTCTCAACAATGTGAATACATATTAACAATCTTTTTTCAAACTTCATTTCAGATTTTTCTTTTGGATGGGCTTGTTTTAGGAAAAGAGAATAATCATTTTTAGCCAACTTTCACAAAATCTATTAATTATTAACATCTTGTATCTTAAAGGATATCAACATCAAATCAGAGCACTATACTGAACTCATTAAAAAAGAAGACTTGATTTATCTGACATCAGACTCACCTAATGTCCTGGAGGAATTAGATGAATCAAAGGCTTATGTGATTGGAGGATTAGTAGATCACAACCATCACAAGGTACTAAATTTTACTTTTGTGTTTTTTGAACTTAAAATCTATACTCCAATTTCCTGATAGTAAAATACTAACACTAGCCCATCATTACTGAGTGCCTACTATATTTCAGTCACCTGTTGATAGAGAATTATGCTACTAATCGGTTGCTAAGCCATCAAAGTTTATACAACTTTTTAAATTTAGGATTTCTGTAGGATTTTTCTTTTAATTTGTACTTCTTTCTCTTCCCCTCGCATACTCTCATTTGGATGAAAAATTACACAAGTGTGCTTGCTTTTTCTAAAAGAAAACGTCATTTTGTACCGAGCCAGCTACTTCACAGCGAACTAAATTTAACACAGCTGAGGAACCTGTCTACTAAGTGTCTGAGGAATTACCCGTCAGCAGAACAATGGGAAGCAATTCCTTATTCTTGTAAAGCAGCACTATTCAAATAGGGCATTCTGTAGTCTTGCCTCCCCAGTGTGGTCTCTCAGTGATTACTGAGCCCGTGGAATGTGCACAGTATGACTGGAGAACTACATTTCTAAATATTTCAAAAATTCTAATCAATTTAAAGTTAAGTAGTAAGACATGGCTGCCAATTGAACAGTGCAGCTTGGGAGCATCATAGGGAATTCATCAGAATGATCTCTAGCCTTTTTATTTGTTTAGTGAAAAATTGTATTTTTTTAATTTATGTAGAATGAAATTTTTTTCATGTTGTTTGTTTCCCTAAATTAAAACAATTTGTTTACAAAGGCATCTGCTAAAATCTATTTTTAATTGTCACTTGAATGTATAAACTACTGGTTGGGAAATTTAGTTTCCCTTTCTCCTATAGTCTATCTTTTTTCCATTCCAGTCTTGGTTAGACATAGGCTTCAAGGATTTTCATTTTAGGAAGAGCTGAAATTCGTATTCAACATTTTTTTTAGTTGATGAAAACAGAAAAATAAAAATAATGGGTCGTTTTTAAAAAATTTTCATTTGCCATTTGTGCTTCTTAATGTTGTGTAATTGAAACTTAGCTTTCTTTATGTTTCTTACATCCATGGAAAGAGCAATGGTATTTCTCTAGAAATTTGTTTTGACTGTTTTAAACTGAGAGAATAGCAAGGTAGAAAGGTAAAAAGAGTCAGGAGGAAGGTGAGCCAGGTTTTTCTCGAGGTTCTGCCACTTAGTTTTGTAGCAGGGCAGGGAATATAATTTCTTTGACTTCCTTATTTGTAAACTGAGGAGGTTAAAACAAGACTTCTAAGCACTCTGACTATACTTACTGTCAGGAGAATGTTTCCATAAATTAGCAGTTAAATTCTCTCTCTTTCTTTCTCTTTCTGTCTTTCTCTCCTCCCTCCTCTTTTTTTTTTTTGGATAATATTCTCTGAACTAAAGTCTTTTCTAAAAACTACTTGTACTATCATAGACTTTAAAATAATTTGATATTCTCATCCAAGTCACCATGTCTTTGTTTTAGGGAATCACATATAAACAAGCATCAGATTATGGAATTGACCACGCACAGCTTCCCCTTGGAAATTTTGTGAAGATGAATAGTAGAAAAGTTTTGGCTGTTAATCATGGTAAGCTGGATGGTGGTAAACTGAAAATAGCCTTAGTGAGCATTATGAAAAAGAACATTTCATTTCAGATTTGGAGAAATGAAAACAATACACCTTGCCAGAGACAAAACTGTAAAAAGAATAATTTATAAATAATAGAAACTATGATGCATATTTTAGAAAATTTTTGCAAATGTACAAAAGTAGTTAATAATTCTAACTACAGCCTCACTAGTCAGAGATACTTGGCATTAATTTTTTGGTATGTTTCCATCCTGTAGTTGTTCTTTTTCTCTTTTTGACAGGCAGAGTTAGAGAGAGAGAGAGAGGGACAGAGAGAAAGGTCTTCCTTCCGTTGGTTCACCACCCAAATGGCCGCTACGGCCGGCGCGCTGTGCCAGTCCAAAGCCAGGAGCCAGATGCTTCCTCCTGGTGTCCCATGCGGGTGCAGGGCCCAAGCACTTGGGCCATCCTCCACTGCCTTCCCAGGCCACAGCAGAGAGCTGGACTGGAAGAGGAGCAAGCGGGACTAGAACCCAGGGTACTGATGCTGCAAGTAGAGGATTAGCCAAGTGAGCCGTGGCCATCCTGTACTTTTTCTATACATGCAAGGATGCTTCAAAAAGGTTGTGGAAAGAATGCAATATAGAGCTTACTTTGGGGGAAAATATTTTGAAATGTATATATAGTTTTCTATACTATGTATTTTCATTAATTTTTTGAAGATGCTTTATGTAATATTATTTATTATATAATTAAATGCTTTGTTACATAGAATAATATAAATCTAGGGTATTTTCCCCTTCACTTATCATATTTTCTGTCATTGAATGGTTACTAGTTATAACATTCCATCACCTAAGTATATAATAGTTTAACCATTCTCTTATTGTTGAATTTTTTTTCTTTTTACTGTTGTAAATAACCCTGAAATAGGAATTCTTGGACCTCAGTCTTTGCCTAAATTTTTGCTGTTTTAAATTTTTTAAGGAGGGGTGGATGTTGTGACATAGCAAGTTAAGCCTCTGCTTGGGACACCTGTACCCCATATCGGAGGGTTTTGTTTGAGGCCCAGCTATTCTGTGCTTCCAATCCAGCTTCCTACTTAGGCATCTCTGAAGTCACTGGATGATGGCTCAGATTCTAGGGTTCCTACCACCCACATAGGACACCCAGATGGAGTTCCTGACTCCTGGATGTGGCATGGCCTTCCACTGGCAGTTATAGGCATTTGGGGAGTGACCTAGCAGATAGAAAACCATCTCTCTCCCCCTTGTCACTCTGCCTTTCAAATAACTCTTACTAAAAAATCAAATTTTAAGGTAATATTTTAGTCAGTACAACCAGTTGTTAAGCTGTAATATGTGTTAAAAATTTTCTAAAGAGCAGATTCTAGGAAGTATGAAATTATTGATTCAAAGTATAAATGTCTTCTAAAGCTTTGATACATAATGGAAATTGCTTTGCCACAAAGTAAATGCAAACTATTCCTTCAGCAGTGTGTTGAAGTGAAAGTACCTTGGAGACATGATTAATATTCTTTACTCAATATTGAATAAAATAAAAACAATAAACAAAATAAAAGGCTAGAAGCTCCTCAGAGTGATTCTTTTGTAGGAAAGGTAGAAGAAATTTAGATGAATGCTAATCATTTTTTTTCTTGAATATTATCACATAAAGGATACAGAAATAAAAGCCATAAGAATAGAAAGGGAGGGGCCAGTGCCATGGCACACTAGGTTAATCCTCTGCCTGTGGCACTGGCATCCCATTTGGGCACCGGTTCTAGTCCTGGTTGCTCCTCTTCCAGTCCAGCTCTCTGCTGTGGCCTGGAAGGGCCATGGAGGATGGCCCAAGTGCCTGGGCCCCTGCACCTGCATGGGAGACCAGGAGGAAGCACCTGGCTCCTGGCTTCGGATCGGCGCAGCTCCAGCCATTACGGCCACTTGGGGAGTGAACCAACGGAAGGAAGACCTTTCTCTTTCTCTCTCACTGTCTGTGACTCTGCCTGTCAAATAAATAAATTAAAAAATTAAAAAAAGAATAGGAAGGGAGATAAAAACATGGTCAGTGTAGACTATAGTTGACAAGGGCGGCTGATGTTTTCTTTCTCTATGTTTAAAATGAATTGAGGAGAAGCTGGGAAGGAGGTAGCAGGCTTGAGAACCTAGGGGCAGATTGACCCTTACAGTCAATAGAAGGAAGCAGTAAGAACAAAGTAGCTATTAAGGCAAACTCGCACTGTTAACCTGAAGGCACTGTATTGTAAAAGTCAGTCTGCAACACTGGGATGCACTTTCCTAAGAAATGAATGACGTTTGTCTTTATTACAGTGTTTGAGATTATTCTGGAATACCTAGAAAGAAGAGATTGGCAAGAAGCATTTTGCACCATTTTACCCCAACGGAAAGGAGCTGTTCCTACAGACAGAACCTGTGAAAGTTCTCGGGAAGAGCAGTCTGCCCAGGCTGAAGATGGATCAGACAGTGATTCCAGTGAGGGGGAGGACAGCAGAAATGAAGCAGATTCACCACATGCAGAAGAAAAGCAGGATAAGGAAAACAGCACTGAATCTACAGTGAGTGTGGTATCACACTAATGTTATCTGTTCTTTTAGGTCAGGGAAAAATTAGGAGAAAGTAAAGTGCTTCCTATCCTAGGATATTCAGATTGGAAGAAAATTTATTTTCTCATTTCTGTTGCAAATTTCAAAATTATTTTAGGGTTAAAGGATAGTAAAATGTTCTTTAAACTCTGTAAGAAAGACATTTTTGTTTTTGCAAAAGAAGAATTAAATACACAGGTTTTTCTTTTTTATAATTTTTTTTAAAGCTTCCCAAGTTTCTAGAGAATCGTATGTGGTTAGCATGCCTTAATTCTCTTTCATTTACTGGATTGCAGTCTTCCAAATGTTCCTTCTGACCTTTGAGTTTTCCTAGTTCATGTTCATATCTTTGTCTTTCTGATCTGTTGTTCCTTATTTGTGGGGGCAGGTACTCACACATATCCTGCAAGTTTACCAGGATCTTGTGTAGGGGAGGTTACCCTCCACGTGCAGGTTTTTTATTTACTTTAGTCTTGAAAAAGAAAGTGTTTTAAGAAGTATCAGCTTGATAGACTCAACAATTCATTTCGTTTGGACTATAGAACCCATATGTGTTTCTTCTTTGTGATGCCTTCTCTTGGTTTTGAAGTAATCATTGAAGAGTTGAGAATCTCTTTAATACCTCTTTTGCATTTCTATTATGGTGATAAATTATTTTAATTACAAAATTGAATTTTTGCAAGCTAGATTATTTTATAAGGCTGCTACTTTTGAGGGATCAATTTTGTCTTTACCTGAATTTAAAATGAAATAGCTCTTAGCAGCTAACATTTCTTTTTATAGATTTTTTTTTACAACAAAGTATTTGTTGGCTCTTAAAGTGAATAAAGCTTAAGTGTGCTTCAGCCTCTTATATAATAATATTTAAATTAATGTACATGTATATTTCTTAAATAATGACACACATGAAAATATGCATATTATTGTATTCACATCTTTCCATATCATGTATGGTTCTTAGTTATTGGTGGATAATAAGATTGATTTGTATCATTTATGTGAGCAGTTGTGTTGAAAGCACTGAGACCAATTTGAATTTCATTAAGTCCAAAAATTCCTAAATAAGCATTTGCATGGAAAGATAGTGCTGGAGGATGTAGCAAAAGGGTGCTGTTTCGGGGCCAGCATTGTGGCACAGAGGGTAAAACCGCCTCCTGTGAGGCTGGCATCCCATATGGGCACCAGTTCATATCCTAGCTGCTCCACTTCTGATACAGGTCCCTGCTAATGGCCTGGGAAAAGCAGTGGAAGATGGCCCGAGTATTTGGGCCCCTGCCACCCATGTGGGAAACCCAGATGAAACTCCTAGCTCCTGACTTCAGCCTGCCCAGGGCTGACTGTTATGGCCATCTGAGGAGTGAACATGTGAATGGAAGACCTCTCTCTCTATTTCATTGTAACTCTGACTTTCAAAAAACAAAATAAATAAATTAAAAAAAAAAAGGTGGAGTGCCGTTTCACTTTCTAAACAGGGATTAAAGAAGTTACCTTTCAGGTGAAGTGCTTATTCTTGCTCGCAGCAACAGTAGCATTTCAGGAGACTGCTGAGTTTGGGTAAAATAAGTCTCTGTTCCTATTTGTTTCTTAATGTACGAATACTGCATTTTAGAAAGTATATAACTAGCAATATATATAAATTCTATATTAACTTACATATGCATTGAGTAGAAAGATTTTTGGATTTAATATTGCAGTTAATTATCTTTTATTTTTTGTTCTTTTATTTTTACTAATTGTTATGCATTTTAATGAAGATATGTAAATAAATAAAGATGAGCCTTGCAATTCTAAAGAACAGAGCTTATGTCTTAAGATATATATTTCAAAGGTTCAGATTTTTTGGAGTAAGTGTGATTTACCAACATGGAATATTATACCTTTTATTTTGTATGAAAAAGGCCACTGTTTAATCAAGAAAGATGAGGAAACATCATTACAGATGTTGCATAGCTTTCCACTAATTATAAAAATACCTGGATTAATTTCTTAATGGCTCTGTAACAAATCACCACAAACTGGGTGGCTTAAAGCAACAGAAATTTATTCCCTAACAGTTTTCAAAGTGTCACAGGGCTATGCACCGTCTGAGTGCTTGGGGAGTAATCCTTCCTAGTCTCTTCCTAGCTGTTGGTGGTTACCCTCACACCCCAGGGTTCCCTTACTTGCAGCTGCAACTCTGTTGTCTCCGTTGTTGCCAGTGGTCTTCTGTCCTCTGTCTTCAGTATCTGTATCTGTGTCCAAATTCCCCTCTCCTTGTAAGAAAATCAGCGTTGGATGAAGGTTGACCATAATCCATTGTGACTTCATCTTAACTTACGATTACATCTACACAGCCCCTATTTGTAAATAAGTAGCAGTCAAAGATACTGGATGTTAGGAATTGCATTGTTTGGGGGAACATGATGCTACCCACTGCAGGCCCAGATCTAGGCTGTGGCAAAAGAACATGACTACCTCTTTTGAACTAACTGATTTATAAAGTATTTAAAGCACTGGTTTAAAAGATAAGGGTTTTTTTTTTTTTCTCACTTCTGTGTGTCTTTTCCTCTCAGCATTGTTTTGGTTTATTTAGGTACTTTAGGAAGTATTAAAGTAACTTGTGTTGATAAATTTAGTACTTAAGTAAATGCAGCAAAAGGGACATGTGCCTACTGAAATAATAGGATTTCTCCTCATTTACTTTCTTTAATAATCCTGTGGTTTTCATTAAGCAAACTCATTTTTAAGGGAAGGAGCATTGTTCAGTTGGATGCACCAGATGCCATTGTGTTCATATCTTGTAGCATTTGAAAATGATCAGAACAGCAATACAGCAACAACAACAAAACAAAAAGTATGCAATTCTTAGGAAGAAATGTCTTTTAGGAGACTAGATAACAATGATGAAACCAACCAATTACTGACAATTACAACGCAAAGTGATACTTCACTGCATAGATGGAGAGTCCTTGAGATGATACAGATAAAAAGCAAGAATTGTCCATAGAGCACCAAGAATGTGTACAGACAACAGGTGTTAAATGAGATTGGTAATAAAAAGAGAAAAGTGATTAGAATTAATGGCAGCAAAGGCCTATAGTAGTTAAACTTGGATCTCAATTTGCATGTAGCTGTTTATCTGTTTTCCTAGCTCATTGCCAGATACATTGAAAATTTTTTTAAGATTTTTTTTTTTGAAACAACAGGGAGAGAGAGATTTATCTTCTATCTGCTGATTCTCTCCCCAAATGTACACACACCTGGACACAGATCTGTTCAACCACCCACACCAGTGTGCACACACCCAAGAAATTTATAGTACTGGCTGAGCATCCCTGATCCTAAAATCTGAAATCCATAATGCTCTAAAATCTGCCACATTTTAGCACCAACATACTACAAGTGGAAAATCCCACAGCAGATCTCATGTGACAGGCCATAGGCAAAATGCAGGCATACAACCAATACAGCATATTCAGCATTCCTAAGGGGAAAAACTCTCACTCCTCAACTGTGATTTATCTTCTGTGTACATGCCCAGATTCCCCTATGCAGCATGTGAACAAAGGTAATAAAATGGCATATGTTCAGGCCAGACATTCCCTAAATCCACATGCATTACTCACTGTGCTTTTGTTTACTCTCTGTTCTGTGATAGAAACATGTTGAAAATGTCAGAGAAAGGCATGTGGTACAGCAGTAAAGTCGCTGTGATGCCCACACCTTTATCTGAATATGGTTTCGGTCCTGGCTGATGTGCTCTGTTTCAGTTTTCTGCTAAGGCATACCCTGGGAGGCAGCAGATGATGGCTCAAGTACATGGATCCCTGCCACCCAAGTGGGTGATGCAGATTTAGTTCCAGACTAGTGGGTGATGCAGATTTAGTTCCTGCCTAGCCCTGGATTTTGTGGGCATTTGAGGAGTGAGCCAGTAATTGGAAGATTTTCTCTCCCTCTCTCCCTTCCTCTCTCGCCCTCTCCCTTTCCCTCTCCCCACCCCCGTGTGTGTGTGTGTGTGTGTGTGTGTGTGTGTCTTCCTTTCAAATGAAAGTTTTTCTTCCAAGTAAAATAAAAAAAAATATATTGTAAAGGCCTGAAGGTACTTCTGTTGTTAACAAGTGATAAGAAAAGGAGGAAGCATTTATCTATGCACAAAATATCAAGTTGTTAGAGAATTGGACAGCAGTGTGAGTGTGAAATTTCTTATGGAAGAGTATGGTATTAGAATGAACACTGTATATGACCTAAAGAAACAGGATAAACTGTTGAAATGCTTTGCAGAAACCAACAAGCCAAAGTTAATGAAAATTAGTAAAATGCTGCATAGAACTGTAAATCAAGATCTTATCCAAGTATTCAAAGGCTGAATTCATTAGTATCTCAGTGAACACATGCTCCTTAATGGTATGCTGGTCAGGAAAGAATAAAAATCTGTCATGATGAATTGAAAATTGAACGGGACTGGATATTCAACAGGCTGGTTGTGGCATTTAAGAAAAGACATACTGTTAAATTGTTAAGGATGTGTGGTGATAAAGCATCTGATGATCACAAAATGGCAGAAAAAATTCATTTCTAAGTTTGCCAAGGTTATTGCTTATGGAAATACAGTGCCAGAACAAGTGTATAATGCCAATGAAACATCACTGTTTTGGCATTATTACCCCAGAAAGAGACTGACTACAGTTGATGAGACAGCACTATGAGAATTAAAGATGCCAAGGACAAAATAACTGTGCAGCAGGCACAAATAAACATAAACTTGCTATGCAAGCAAAAGCTTGCATCCTTGCTGTTTCAAAGGAGAAAATTTCTTAGCAGTCCCTTATTATGCTAATAAAAAAGGCAGGGATCCACCAAAGGGTATCTTTTTGATTGTTTTCACATTGTGTGCCAGCAGTTTGTTCTCACTGCAGGGAAGTGGTACTGAATGATGACTGCCAGGTTTTGTTATTTTTAACAACTGTCCTGCTCATCCTCCAGCTGAAAATGTCATCAAAAAGAATGTTTATGCCATCTACTTTCTCCCATATGTCACCTCATTCTTATAGTCACGTGACCAGGTTATCCTTAGATCAATGAAAAGTAAATGTAAAAGCACTTTCTTGGGGGCTGGCTCCGTGGCTCACTTGGTTAATCCTCTGCCTGTGGCGCTGGCATCCCATATGGGCTCTGGGTTCTAGTCCTGGTTGCTCCTCTTCCAGTCCAGCTCTCTGCTGTGGCCTGGGAAGGCAGTGGAGGATGGCCCAAGTCCTTGGGCCCCTGCACCCGCATGGGAGACCAGGGGGGAGCACCTAGCTCCTGGCTTCGGATCAGCGCAGTGCTGGCCGTGGCAGCCATTTGGGGAGTGAACCAATGGAAGGAAGACCTTTCTCTCTGTCTGTCTCTCTCACTGTCTATAACTACCTGTCAAATTAAAAAAAAAAAAAAAAAAAAACTTTCTTGAACAACATGCTAGCAGCAAAAAGCAGCAGCACTGGTGTGGAAGGTTTTCAAAAGGACTTCAGCATAAAGGATGCCATATGTTCTGTTGCCAGTCCTTGAAACATGACTAAAGACAGTCATGCATGCCCAGCACAGCCTCTGGTTTTTGAATATGTCCAGTGATGATGACACCACAAGGTGGTGACTCTCTCTTTTTTTTTTTTTTCTTTTAAGGTTTTATTTATTTGGGAGGCAGAGTTACAGAGAGGGAAAGACAGAAGGGTCTTCCATCTGCTGGTTCATTCCACAAATGGCCTCAATGGCCAGAGCTGGGCCAGTCTGCAGCCAGGAGCCAGGAACTTTCCCTGGGCCTCCTACTTGGGTGCAGTGGCCAAGCACTTGGGCTATCCTCTGTTGTCTTCTAGGCCATAAGCAGAGAGCTAGACTGGAAGAGGAATAGCTGGGACATACACCAGCGCCCATTTGGGATGCCAGCACCATAGGCCTCTGCCTATGACCACTACCCCACAACGCTGGTCCCCAAGGTGGTAACTTTCAAAGATTCTGTTTGTCAAGTGACAAAAAGATTATGTCTGACCTCTTTACATTTTCAAATAAATAAATAAATACACCTATAGAGTTGATCTGTAGGCTGTAAGAAGTGTTTATTGATAATGAGGCTCCAGGTGTTGATTCATTGACTAATAGTGAAATAGCTAAAAAGGGTCTGAATCAAAGGGTGATAAAAATCACGATGGTATTGGGTTGTAGATTTAGACATTGGGGAAATCCTGCAAGACATTGGCATAGGCAAAGAGTTCTTGGAAAAGACCCCAGAGGCATAGGCAATCAAAGCCAAAATTGACAAATGGGATTACATCAAATTGAGAAGCTTCTGCACTGCAAAAGAAAGTCAGCAAAATGAAGAGGTAACCAACAGAATGGGAGATACTATTTGAAAACTATGTAACTGATAAGGACTAATAACTAGAATATATGAAGAGCTCAAGAAACTCAACAACAACAAAACAAACAGCCGAGTGAAGAAATGGGCAAAGGACTTAAACAGGCACTTTTCAGAAGAGGAAATCCAAATGGCCCAGAGAGACATGAAAAAAATGCTCAGGATCACTAGCCATCAGAGAAATGCAAATCAAGACCACAATGAGGTTTCATCTCACCTGTTTGAGTGGCTTTCATACAGAAATCTACAAACAAATGCTGGCAAGGAAAAGGTACCCTAATCCTCTATTGGTGTGAATGTAAACTGGTGCAGCTACTGTGGAAGACAGTATGCAGATACCTCAAAAATCTGAATATGGACTTATTATATGACCCAGCCATCCAACTTCTGGGAATTTACCCAAGGGAAATGAAATCAGCACATGAAAGAGTTATCTGTACCCCCATGTTTATTGCAGCACAATTCACAATAGCTAAGATATGGAATCAATCCGAATGTCCTTCAACTGAGACTAGATAGAGATTATGGAATATGTACACCATGGAATACTAAACAGTATTAAAAAAAAAATGGAATCCTGTTTGCAACAAAATGGATACAACTGGAAAACATACTTAATGAAATAAGCAAGTCCTAAAAGGACAAATACCATATTTACTTCCTGATCTGTGGTAACTAATAGAGCACATAAAAGGTAATCTGTAGAAGGCAGAGGATTAGCCCAGTGAGCCGCGGCGCCGGCACACCGGGTTCTAGTCCCGGTCGGGGCGCCGGATTCTGTCCCGGTTGCCCCTCTTCTAGGCCAGCTCTCTGCTGTGGCCAGGGAGTGCAGTGGAGGATAGCCCAAGTCCTTGGGCCCTGCACCCCATGGGAGACCAGGAGAAGCACCTGGCTCCTGAAAAACATAAAAAGAAAAAAAAAAAACCTTAAAAAAAAAAGGTAATCTGTAGAATTGAAATTGACACTCAGATGCGATGACTTTGAGTACTTACCTCAATTCTTGAGGAACAGTTTTTTTTTTTCCATAATATTTGTTGAACTCTTTACTTAGTATAAAGTTAATCTTATGTGTATAAAGTAAATTGGAAATAAATCTTAGCAAAAAAGACTGGGAATAGGAGAGGGAGGAGGTAGAAGAGTGGGAGTGGAAGTGGGAGGGCGGGTAGAATGGGAAGAATCACTGTGTTCCTAAAGTTGTATTTATGAAATGCATGAAGTTTGTACATCTTAAAAGGTTTTTAGGGGAGAAATAAAGGGAATTCACCCCCCAAAAATAATTAAATAAATTGTAAAAATTCACAATGAAGATGATGTTAATGCTGCTATGCTGGTGAAAAAAAAGTGCCTGTGGCTGACATGATGAAAAAGTGTGAAGCACTTATTGAAAGGCTAGCATAGTGTGCAGTCATAACAGAACAACAAATCACGTCAGTTTACAAAATCAAAGGAAATTGGGAGAAAAATCATTGTTAATGAGGAAGATGACTCTGGATGAAACATTTTTAAAAGCCATCCACAATCCCAGCTGCTCCACTTCCGATCCAGCTCCCTGCCAATACACCTGGGAAGGCAGTAGATGATGACCCAAGGGCTTGGACTCCTACCACCCAGGAGGGATACCCAGACGATGTTCTGGGTACCAGCCCTGATTGTTGTGGCCACTGGGGAGTTGAACCAGAGATGGGCAATCTCTCTCCTTTCTCTTCACTCTGCCTTTTGAATAAATAAATTTTTAAGCCTTGTGTAGAATGCCTGTTTATTCCTAGAGGGCCCACTTCTTTGGTCCCGTAACTGCACCTGATGTTTCTTCTCTACAGTAACTTTTGGTCAAAACACAGCAGTAGACCAAGACCAAAAGCCTGTCATTATTTAACAACTGACAAGGTATTCTGTTGATGCTATCCTGCTGCTTCATTAACCTGAACACATAAATTTTACTGTTAAGTCCTTAATTTGAATTAATGTTAGAAAACGATTACTTACCTGTAGCATGTAAGTTCGGAGTTAGGCATGATGGTGATGCCACAAAACCCTAGACTGTCCACATGGGTGACTGAGTCAGTGAGTGATACTTTTGCTTTGTGGTGATTCAGTGTGCACAAAGTTTGTTTTATGTATAACATTGTTCTAAATATATCACATTAATTTTAAGCTATGTGTTTTAAGGTATATGTGGAACATAAATGAAGTTTGTGTTAAATGCCTCATTTTGTATATACAAATATTCAAAATATAAAAAAATTAAAATCAGAAATACTTTGGTCCAAAACATTTTGGATAAGGAATATCCACCTGTTTCTCTTGTGAGTATTGATACAAACATTCTAAATCATTGGTTGACTAATTGGTAGACATTTCCAGGCCATACTCTGAAAGAATAAACACCATGGCCCAATGTGGGGCATGAGCATGGCCATGGTGCAGCCAGGCCAGGCCTGGGGGCTCTGCATACACATCTGCCCCTGGGCGCCCCAACCATGCGGAGCCAAGCCCGTGAACTAACCCAAGCCAGTCGTCCAGAGCCAGCCAGCAGGCATCCCAGGGGTGGCGGTGCAGGGAGGGGCCCAGTGCGTGTGCATGGGGGGCATGGTGGTAATGGCTCTGGCCCCCGGACTGGGCAGCAGTGGCCCAGGGCCCCGTATCTACTTCCAGAGCCCCCCAGGGCTGCTGGCGAGGGCCTGGGCGGCCCGGACGACGGGGGCCCCGTGCGGTGCCAAGGAGGGGTCACTGTGAAGTGCACCTGGGTCCAGGAGGCGCAGGGCCAGCTGCAGCGCCTGCAGGAGGACTATATCTACAACCTGCAGACACTGGAGGAGCGGGACTGTGAGCTGGAGCATGTGCACAGCTGCCGCCATGATGCTGCTGTGCCCAGGGCTGGCCATGAGCAAACTGCTGTCACGCAAGGAGGGGGAGTAGATCCTGGAGCAGCTCGCGTGGCTGCCACAGCCCCCTGGCAAGAGGACCTTTGGGAACCAGATGAAGAGGGACCAGGCTGCCAATGATGATGCCGGCAGCCTCTTTTCCAGCGGGCCCTGCGAGGGGAGCAAAGAAGATGGCGCCGAGAGGAAATAAGGTGGGCGGAACCCAAAGTTGTTTACCGCCAAAGCTGATTGACCACGCAGTATCAGGGGACGTTACAACAACTGATGATGAGTGTATAGACATATGGGTAGTCCTATAAAAATCTCCCCATAAAATGACCTTTTAAGTGATTGGTTGATCCTTATGCCCTGCCCCAGTGACTCTGCAGTTTGTGCTTTAAAAGGCTTTCCTGTGTGTGCAATAAACGATTCCTGCATGACTTGACTCCCCACTGCATCTGATTGTCTCCGGGATCGGGAGGCTGGGGAATGGGCGGGCGAGTGGTGCACTTGCCTTTCCTCGGACCCAGTCCATCCTCGTTTGGGTAGACTAAGACCCTGCAGCCCAAGAATATTTTAAATATTAAAATTACATATTAGAAAATTAGTGGATATCCAGCACTGGCACTGAGTAGAAACTAGTTCCATTTTGGCTTGTAAGTTAGAGATAATTTCAAATCCTTTTCTTTTGAGGAGAGGTGAGCATTTTTCCTCACTAGTCCAAGAACTTTGGAGAACTATAGATCACAAAAGTCAGCTCAGATGTCAAAATTCTCAGTTTTTTTGTGTTTTCCTCTTCCATTTGTTTTCCTCCAACAGAGTTTGGAATCAGTGTGAGACTGTAACTGCTTAATTCTGGTTATGGATGCTTTTCCTTGTATCAGAACCCCAGCCTTATGTAATAATAATAGGACTGGAAATGAAGTATACCAAAAACATATTTCTTTTATGTGTCACATTAAAATTAACTACAAATAGAAAAACTGTTTCAATTAAAATTTATTTGAGGCATTATCTATAGGTGTTTTGTGATTTACATGTACCAACATAAAGAGGATCACTTTGTAACAATGTTAAGCTCTTTGTGAAAAAATTTTCATGGCATAGAACTGCTACTGTTTTATGCTCAAGGGTAAGATGCTCTTTGGGGACAGATGTTGTATCCTTGTTGTACACTCCTTGCTGACCCTAGTTTTGCTGATCCACTGTCCTGAGTGTTAGGCCTGGGAGGAGACTTGGGCTTGCTGAAATATTCAACAACTGGAATTTTCATCTTACTTCTTCTTATAAATAACTGGGACTTACTCTCAGCCCCTGAATTAGAAAGAAATTTAAACAAGACAGTAATTGAGACATGAAATATAACTTCTGTCATGTCTTATAGCAAATGATATACATATATACATATATGAAGTTTAGGTGAATCAGATACTCAAAATTCATAACAGAATCTGTTGTCATCTTCCTTCCTTTAATGAGCTATTTTTTCTTTAACATGTTCTTTCACTCTTATAGCAACCATAACTTGGGTAGTAAAGATCTAGAATAGGTGATAGGTAAGGGTGGTAGGCAAGGATGAGACCAGTGAGAGAAAAGAGGTCTATGTTCCTGACAGATGAAACGATAGAATAGACAAACAAGTTAAAACAAATTAGTGTACTTATATGACCTCTGCAAGACCTACATGGTTGTGCCCAAGTAGGAGGAGGGATTTGGGGAGATGCTGAATATCAACAATGGAGAAACATGGGTATGATCCGGGATATTTTTACACACAAAAAAGTCCATGTGTGTAAACATGTGTCTAAATATATGTGGAACCTACAGATAGACATGAAGTTGAATAATAGAAAAGCATTACTGTTAACGATTTTTTAGTTCTAGCGTAAGGAATTGGGTAGGGAAGGCCAGACACAGTATGTTGTACTTGTAGTTAGAGTGGTGAAGTACTTCCTAATTTCTAAACTACACTTATTGCCTGTAAGCATAAAGAGCCTTCTTTGAATTTGGTTAATCCCTCTGGAACCTGCTGGGATACAGAGTGACTGTGAGGGAATTCTAATTGATAACTATAATATGCCTGGTACAAGTGGAACTTGTAGAAACAACAAGACAGATTTTTGAGGCTTATAGATATACTTCATATTTATTCTATAGTTATTACTGTGCTAGTTTTAAAAGAAGGAGTAGATGTTTGTTTAGCCTAGTGGTTAATATTTGTGTCCCACATTGAAGTACCTGCATTTGATCCCCAGTTCTAGATCCCTAATCTGGCTTCCTGTTAATGCAGACTCTGGGAGGCAGTAGTGGTTATGCAAGTAGTTGGGTTCCTGCCACCGTTGGGTAACCTAGATTGAGTTCTCAGCTCTTGGCTTTGGCATCAGCCCAGCCTCAGACCTGGCCATTGCAGGTATTTGGAGAGTGAACGAGTGGATAGGAACTTTCTCTCTCAATATTTCTCTCTCTCTCTTTCTTCCTTTCTTTCTTTTCTCTCTTTCTCTCTTTCTCTCTCTCTCTCTCTCCAGATATAGGCTGGGATGGGCCTCTGGGAGTTGGACAAGCGAGACACAAAAAACTGCTCTTTTCTTTTGTATTTCACGTGTCTCATAGGGCACCTGCTTGTGGCTGATTGCCATTTTGCTCTTCTCATTGATTTTGTTGCCAGTGAAATCATTTAGTTCCATGACAGTTGAGCTGTGAACAACCAAAACTCTGAGACCCTTGTTTTTTGTTAGGTTGATGCACGAGTTACCTTCTTATTGAATTAGCATGAGAAAACCTATAGCTCCTGTTGTCCTGCACCTTTGCTTCCCAAAGATTGTGTCTCTGATGAAGCACTGTGCCTATCAAAACAGTGGTAAAGTTACCTCAAGTTTATCTCTAGGAGAAATTCAACAGATGCTGCCCCTTAAGAGTTGTGCTGGAAATCACTATTTTACTGTTTTCCCTTTAAAAACACAGATCCTTAAAATTTAGGCTTCTAAATAATTAGTACTTACTGGTTTTCTTATATCAACTCAGTAATTATCACAAACTCTACTTAACCTTTTGATGCTTCCTTATTTCCTTCAGGTCCTTGATTTAACACCCTAAATTAATTGGAGGAAGAAAAATGAATTTCAAAAGTGTTTTCTTTAGACTACCTCATTGCATATGTATCTTAAATATGCTATCCAAATTCTTTGTTTTTAATGCATATAGTATTTAAATTCTCTTCCCAATAAAAATTAATTTTTTCTTTGATTAATATCACTAACATATCATATGTTAGTTGCTAAGGTAGAAAAAAATGACCCTTATTATCTTCCAGTTTCTGATTTTATGAAAACTCCAAGGTAGAGACAAATTGCAATTCAAAATTTTTCTGTCTTAATGCTTTCTAAAGTGACATGTTTTGTGAATATTTATTTTCTATGACTTAATGTTTTACTTAATTTTCAACATTAAAGCATAAGATTTTCTCTTTCCACTTATACATTTTCTCACTATAACGTTATAATACACAAATATGTATTTATCTCCTATTATTGGAATTACAGGGTTAAGAAAAATTTCTCCTGAAATAATGTCCAATTCTCTTAGTAGTTACTTTTTCTCTCTGGGAGCCCCCAGGAATATGCCAGAAAAAATTAAGTTAAACAGTGATTTTCATCTTGCATTATTCTACATCAAAATGGATACCAGTGTGGGATGAACAAATTAGAAAATAACCATAAAAATAAATTTAATTTCCTTTTGTGCTTCTGTTTTTAGTTAAATTTTTTAAAAAAAAGAAAGAAGCCTGTATTTTCTTAGATTTTTAGGTGACTGCTCATGCAATGCCCGCAGCAGCATGGGAATTTTCCTCAAAGAGCTAGGCAGTCATAGTCTCTACAACCTATTCTGAACAGTAAGATTGAAAACAATTTTCATATTACATTTCTGAGAATAAAAGATAAAAATGTGTTGCAGGTGTTCACTGGATAAAAAGGAGACTTAACAGCTCAGCATGTTTTGCATTCTGAGGGACAAACACAAGAGATTCTTAAGTCTTCATGTGCCCTGGTACCTCTAGAAGGCCATTAAATCTAATTTACCTGGTTGGTTGATGTGTTTCTCTAGGTCTGGTCAGCACTTTTGGTTTTGCAGGTGGATTTGAGGGTGATTTAACCATCTTTGGCCTCCCATTCTCTGTGGCTGGTTCCACCAAGGTATTTCTTCTGTGGTGAGGCAACAAGTTCACCTGAGCCAGCTCAGAATGAATCACAGCTGAGACCCACTCTTTTTCTGATTTAAAAGGGAAAAGGAAGTTGAAGTGGGAAGTGGAATTGTCATTATTATTTCCCCTAGAAGCACCTGAGTAGTTCTTTCATCTAGCATCCCAGTGTGAAAGAGCGGTAATCTACTATCTGAGTTAGGTACCTTTGTGTGTAAAGATTTCAGCATAAAAATTGGTTCACTTCAACCTAGTTTCTATTGACCTGTGACACTGTAGGGCGCCCAGAGTAAATAACTCACTGTGGTACTTGGCCCTGAATTGCAATGGAATTATTCTAAAATACTGAGTACAAAAGCCAGCTTTATAGGCTACTGTCAAAAATATAACAGTAGTCACATAGTATGTTTATCTATACAAATGTAATAAGTACAATGGGGCACGTTAAAATACAGACTAATAGTTTAATAAGTGGTTATAAGCATATCAAGAAGGATTACATCAAAGTACCCATTGAAATTATGTCTTGTGAATTTTATTGATTATACCTGTTCTTTCTTATCATTTTTCTATGGTTTATCTGTTCTTTTCTCCCAACAATAAGCATTTATTTTTTGTGTGATGCATTAAATGTTACATTATTTTAAAAAGGAAACAGACTAATTGCTTATCAAATACTGCTCATTGCCTGAAGAGTCTTCCTGAATTTCCAGGGTAAGGTGCTATATCAAAATGTCTCTCATTGTAAAAACAGTAGCATGTCCCTGTACACACTGGTCCCTCCTAACACTGATTAGTGCAGTGATTCTTGGAGTGGCCCCCAGACCAACATTGTCAATATCATCTGAGAACTTGTTAAAAATGCAAATTCTATTGCTGGCTTTGGGGCACAGGGGGCTAATTTGCCACCTGTGGTGCTGGCATCCTGTATGAGTGCCCACAGTCTTGGCTGCTTCACCTCTGATTCCACTCCTGCTAATGAGCCTGGGAAAGTAGCAGAAGATCGTCCAAGTTCTTGAGCCCCTACTCCCTTGTGGAAGACCCATATGGAGTTCCAGGTTCCTGGTTTAAGCCTGACCAAGGCTTAATCTTTGTCTCTCCCTCTCACTGTTAACTCTGCCTTTCAAATAAATAAATAAATCTTTTTTAAAAAAATGCAAATTCTCAGGCCCCACCTCCAAGGTTTTGCCTTAGTCTGAAGACCAGGTTGATTTGACAATGGCTACTCTCTTAGGCTGTCCTGCTTGAGAATGGCGTATGTTTTTATGAAACAGGCCATGAAAGGCAGAGGGGAGTCTGGGAAATGACTGAGCTGATGAATTGAGGTGGGGTGGGGTTTGTTGGAGAGGGAATTGGCAGAACTGTCTGGATCTACTGCCATCCACCCCTAAGGAAAGAAACTGGTTCTGCATTCAGGGTTCAGAGCAGGCCTGAGCAAGTGCTCAGGAAAAGCCAGAGTGCACGGACTTTGGGGAAGCACAAAACCAGCTGTGGATGAACATAAGGCTGCCCTAGACACAAAGTGTTTCATGTTACTCAAATGAGTTCAGTGTGAGGCATGGTGAAGTTTGGGTTCATGAGTGATCACCATGCTTACAGGTGGATAATACAGGCCTGTGATGATTCTGATACTGAAACACTGCAATATTCTGATATTGCAACATTATCTTTGAAAAAAAATCCAAGGTAGGAAAACATCACTATGTGCGTCTTCCCAGTTTCAGGTCAGTGTTTGTAGATACTTATCTTAATCTCACCTTTTGTATTTGCATGAAGCAGCCACTGGAGAACTTCTGCCAGAGAATCCGTATGTAAAATGTCACAGAGCTTTGCCAGGATCTGACAAGGAAGATGAGAGTTACATGGGGAGCAAGTAAATGGTACCTGCTTCTAAGGTTCCTCATGTCACTGTATTTGATACACAATTAAGTCAACTAGGATTTCAGCCTGGAAGCTAGATTTCAAATAGCACACTGCAGAGTTTTGGCAAAACAATGTTCCTACTACCTGTGATAGCTTAGCTTTAGGCAGTGCAGTGTGTTTTTTCTTGTTTTGTTTGTTCAATACCACTCCCTTCTGGTAGCACCATTTCACTTCTTTTGGGGAACTGATCCTTTCCCACTGCACCATGGAGTTCTATGGGTATCTGGCAATCACAGAACTGCTCTCCACAATTTAGTGGAGAGGGATGGGATCGGAGCTGAATTCAGCATTGCACCTCAGTTCCTTGAGCACAGTGCTTAGCCTAACAGGATAGGAATATTGTTATCATTGGTCATTCGGAGTCCTCCCTTGAGACTTTTTTTTGGGGTAGTTTATTTCTTTTTTTATTTTTTTCTAACTTTTATTTAATAAATACAAATTTCCAAAGTACAACTTTTGAATTATAGTGGCTTTTTCCCCCATAACCCTCTTCCACCCCCAACCATCCCATCTCCCACTCCCTCTCCCATCCCATTCTTCATAATGATTCATTTTCAATTACCTTTATATACAGAAGATCAACTTAGTATATACTACGTAAAGATTTCAACAGTTTGCACCCACACAGAAACACAAAGTATAAAGTACTGTTTGAGTAGTAGTTTTACTGTTAATTCACATAGTACAACACATTAAGGACAGAGATCCTACATGGTGCACAATGACTCCTGTTGTTGATTTAACAGTTGACACTCTTAATTATGACGTCAGTAATCACCCTAGGCTCTTGTCATGAGCTGCCAAGGCTATGGAAGCCTCTTGAGTTCACACACTTTGACCTTATTCAGAGAAGGCCATAGTCAAAGTGGAATTTTTCTCCTCCCTTCAGAGAAAGGTACCTCTTTCTTTGATGGCCCATTCTTTCCGCTGAGATCTCACTCACAGAGATCTTTTATTTAGGTCATTTTTTTTACCACAGTGTCTTGGCTTTCCATGCCTGAAAAACTCTCATGAGCTTTTTAGCCGGATCCGAATGCCTTAAGGGCTGATTCTGAGGCCAGAGTGCTGCTTAGGACATCTGCCATTCTATGAGTCTGCTGTGTATCCTGCTTCCCATGTTGGATTGTTCTCTCATTTTTAATTCTCTCAGTTATTATTTTTTCAACTTTTATTTAATAAATATAAATTTCGAAAGTAAAACTTTTGAATTATAGTGGCTTTTCCCCCCATAACTTTCCTCCCACCCGCAATCATCCCATCTCCTACTCCCTCTCCCATCCCATTCTTCATCAAGATGCATTTTCAATTACCTTTACATACAGAAGATCAACTTAGTATATACTAAGTAAAGATTTCAACAGACTGCACCCACACAGAAACACAAAGTATAGAGTACTGTTAGAGTAGTAGTTTTACCGTTAATTCACATAATACAACACATTAAGGACAGAGGTCCTACATGGGGAGCAGGTGCACAGTGACTCACATTGTTGATTTAACAATTGACACTCTTATTTATGATGTCAGTAATCACCCTAGGCTCTTGTCATGAGCTGCCAAGGCTATGGAAGCCTCTTGGTTTCACCAACCTCGATCTTATTTAGACAAGGCCATAGTAAAAGTAGAAGTTCTCTCCTCCCTTCAGAAAAAGGTACCTCCTCCTTTGTCTATCAGTTATTATCAGCAGACACTATAGACTTTTTTTTTTTCAAATCTAGACTACAGGCTGAGTGTAGGTAATGGAGGAGATAGAAATATGAAATACTTAATCCTATTAAAAGTGTACCATAGGCCAGCACCATGGCTCAGTAGGCTAATCTTCCATCTGCGGCACTGGCATACCAGGTTCTAGTCCCGGTCAGGGCGCCAGATTCTGTCCCGGTTGCCCTTCTTCCAGGCCAGCTCTCTGCTATGGCCTGGGAGTGCAGTGGAGGATGGCCCAAGTCCTTGGGCCCTGCACCTGCATGGGAGACTAGGAGAAGCACCTGGCTCCTGGCTTTGGATCAGCGCGATGCACTGGCTGCAGCATTGGAGAGTGAATCAATGGTAAAGGAAGACCTTTCTCTCTGTCTCTCTCTCTCTCACTGTCCACTCTGCCTGTCAAAAAAAAAAAGTGGACCATAACAGTCATAAAAATAAAGTACAAGGAATTATTAGGTAAGTACCTATAATGAATTTTCCAGTTTGCACCTTATTGTGCCTGCTGCTGGGGTTTCGACTTATCTGGAATTCCTATGTATGTACTGTACTTCAGTCCTACATACTCATCTGCCTATCAGATGCATCCATTTATATATAGAATACAAAAGTACTTTAGACAGAAAATAGCTAAAACTAAATCTGTATTTCTTTCTCTAAAACTCACTGCAAGCTTACTATTCTTTCTGATTCCCATGTCAGTGAGTTGCACCAGCACATGTGAACTGTCCGAGCCAGAGCCTTGGATTCCTCCTGGACAACTGTCTTCCCATTTCCTACCAGATACTGCCAAACAACAGGTTCATTAAATTCTACCATCTTTGTGCTTTTCAGATCTCTCCATTTCTCTTTATCCCCATTGCCCTGATTCAGTCTAAAGGAACAGCAATTCTTGCTGGCATACTGTAATGCCCTTTCTTCTAGTCTACCTGAAACCTTCAATTATTTTTAACTCAATAAACATTTGGGCCAGACATTGATTGAGGTACCGGAGATACAGAAGTGAAATGTAAGTGCTGAAAAAAAAAATAACTACTTTGGTCTAATAATATGTATAATATTTGGTAGAATAATATAATAACATTAAATATGAACTCAAATATAACAGGTATACCCATGTACAGGTAATCCCACATGTATTAGCAGGGATCTAGATTGGAAGCAGAGCAGCTGGGACTTGAACTGGCATTCCAATATGATATGCCAGCGTTGCAAGCATCAGATTAGTCTGCTGCACCACAATACTTCCCCCTCACTTACATGTTCCTAGTGAAAAGTCTGTAGTCAGCTGCTGGGGAGAAGAGGACCAAACTGAGCACAGAACTGTGTTTTAGAATTCAGCCTAGTGTAACCTGACATTGTGCAGATCCTAAGGGTCCTTGTCCTGGGGCCAGTGCCTGCAGAAGGAGCACCATGGAAAACCATGGTCCCAGGTGATCAGACTTACGACTTGGCCTACATCACCTTTAACAGGCCATGAGTCCACCATAAGCAGCCAGAAATGCATAGCAGCATGGTCGTTGGAACTACTCCCATGCTGCTCTGTCTTGGGAGGCTGTAGGTTACAGTTGTGATGTAGCATTGGGATGCTGAGGCTATGGGATTGCCTACCCCATTCCTTTCCTGAGCATCAAAAACCTAGAGTAATTATTCATTTGGGGGAAGGAAATAAGGTGTGTGCCAAGTCCACTGCGTAGGAACCTTGGGCCCATCTCTCCATGGTGAGGCCCAGACCTAGGCAGAGTTACATGCCTGGGGGCTGGCATTGTTGTGTAGTGGGTTAAGCCTCTGCCTGCCATGGCGGCATCTTATATGGACACTGATTTGAGTTCCAGCTGCTCCACTTCTGATCCAGCTCTTTGCTGATGTGCCAGGGAAGGCAGCAGAAGATGGCCCAAATCCCTGGGCCTCTGCATCCACATGAGAGACCTGGATGAAACCTCTAGCTCCCAGCTTCAGCCTTGCCCAGTCCTGGTCATTGCCACTGCAGCCATTTGAGGGGTGAGCCAGCATCAATTTCTCTCTCTTTCTCTGTCTCTAACTCTGTGAATAAAAATGTTAAAGAAAAAACACTTCTAGGCCTGGACACGGGCCAGTGACTCTAGATGAGGTGTTTGGGCCTACCTCAGCCCTAGGAAGAGGCTTGCAAGGAAGGACTACCCCATTGTAGGAACTTCTTAAATTCATTTGGGACAGCACAGCAATTGCAGATTTGTATCCTCATGTTGTTGCCACATTATGGATTTAATCAACCTCCCTCTTACTTTTATTTCCTGATCCAGATAGTTAGGTATGCGAACGGTGCTCTCTTTGACTTCCACCTTGGTAGGCATCACCTCAGAGGAACAGGATCCAGCAGTGGAGTGTACCTTTGGGGGTGACGGTGGCTTTGTGACCTTACTTTCTTCCTAAATCAAGAGTATAATAAAAATCCATGCATTTATATCCACTTATATTTTCATGAAAATTAAATGTAAGATGGGTGAGAAGTATTGTAATTGATTAGATGCATGAAAGTGAATAGAGATTATTTTTAATCCCTCCCAAACTCTATCATATAGTTTTAGTGGAGACAAGAACAAATAGCAATGTATATATTAACTTTTAGTAAGCCATTAAAAACCTTCGTTTAAGCACCGAGATGGTGATTTTTAGATGTTAAATGTGTTACCTTTATTTGTATTGCCATTGCAGATAACCATCCCGTGACAGACCAGATCTGCATTGAGCTGTAAAGATTTCTCTTTAATGACCGGGAAAGGACAGCTGAGAGGTTTTATGCTTTGTCTGTAAAGCAGTTATAGGGTGCAAATTGCTACTTCCTTCCTCTGCTAAGAGGATGGAGAAAAGCTGTTTTCTAGTTCGGAGAGGAAAAACACTGTTTGCAATTAAAATAAAAATTTTAAAAAGGTGGGGGGTTTAGAGGGCTTGAAGTCCAGGAAGAGATAGTTACAGAAGCCTTGGGTCTGTGTTGAAAACAACCTGCAGAAGTATCACTATGTTGCTAAATCTGTATATTTGAAGTACATGAAACTTGTCTAACTTAAATAAAATTTTAAAAAAGTGACTGATACTTAAAGGCATTCAGAAGAGAATGAGTCAATACCTAGGACTGTGATGATCATCACTGACAGAACACATACAATAAGGATAAAGCTGGAGTTTATGTACAGCCATTCTTTTTTAAACATTTATTATGCAGACTTATTTTGGGGAGGAATAGTAAATATATTATTTTGTCCAAACTTCCCACTAAACATAACTAAAGAGACTAGCTAAAAATTTTTTTTTAAATAAAAAAACCAGAGTGAATAAAAGTGTGAGCAGGAACTAGGAAGCCTGTGCTGTATCAAGTACAATGGCCATTTTTACCCTGAGGTCATTGTCTGATCCCATAAAATGGGAGATTTCTTTGTGACAAGTCTTTTAAGGGTCTAAGTGACAGAGCCCAAATAAGGGCCACCCAAGGGCTACATCCTCAAGATGAAGATGACCTACAAGTGAAGTAGTCTGAAGAAAATACAGCCTGGGATCAAGGTTTACACTTGGTTTAGATGGATAGGGCCTCTGGTTTTCTACATAAGAAAGCACAAAGTTTGGGAAGGAAGAGTTTGGGCTTCAGAGACTTACAAATAATGCTTCATACATATGTCCAGCAACTGAGCCAGGAGTTAAAGAAGAAATTTCAATAAGAATTACAGAATATTTTGCACAATGCTAATGAAAATGCTTCATAGCAAAAAATGTGAAAGTATCTAAAGCAGTCTTTAGAGAATTGATAGTTTTAAAATACATGTAACAGGGGTCTTCAAAGAGTTCATGGATATATATATTATGAAAAATTATGCATGGATTTCAAAATGTTTTTTACTAAAATAAAGTTTCTCTTTAAAAACTATTTATTTGAAAGGGAGAGTGACAGAAAGAAAGGGAGAGAGAAAAGAGAGAGAGAGAGGGAGAGAGAAAGAAATCTTTTTTCACTCTACAAATGGCTCCAATAGCCATGGCTGGGCCAGCAGTACAAGGCTCATCCAGGGCTCCCACATGGGTGAAAGGGGCCAAGTCTTCAGGCCACCATCTGTTGCATTACCAGACACTTTTAGCAGGGAGCAGGAGAGGAAGCAGAGCACCCAGGACTGGAACTGGTGCTCTGATATGGGAAGCCAGTGTTGCAAGCACTGACAATCTACTGTGCTACAATGCTGTTCCTAAACTTATCTTTTTTTTTTGACAGGCAGAGTGGACAGTGAGAGAGAGAGACAGAGAGAAAGGTCTTCCTTTGCCGTTGGTTCGCCCTCCAGTGGCCGCTGTGGCCGGCACGCTGCGGCCGGCGCACCGCGCTTATCCAATGGCAGGAGCCAGGTTCTTCTCCTGGTCTCCCATGGGGTACAGGGCCCAAGCACTTGGGCCATCCTCCACTGCACTCCCTGGCCACAGCAGAGAGCTGGCCTGGAAGAGGGGCAACCGGGACAGAATCCGGCGCCCCGACCGGGACTAGAACCTGGTGTGCCGGCACCACAAGGTAGAGGATTAGCCTAGTGAGTCGCGGCACTGGCCACCTAAACTTATCTTTTAATTTCATTTTTCCACAAGCTTTTTGAAGCCCCTTGTGTTAGAAAGATAGAAGTTAGAAGTACAATAATGTGTGTGAATAGAAAGAGAAAAGTAAGAACAATCTAAATTAACAAAATAGAACAAATATAAAACATAGAGGATCAAAAAATTACAAAAATTACTTGATATACTAATAAAGTTGATAAATTTCTGTTGAAACTAATCAAGAAACAGCAATATGAATTAACAAAAGTAATATCTAAAGTATTGCTTCTTACATGTCCTACAGATATTTTTAGAAGAATATAAGGATGTTTTGTATAACCTTGTCAATAAACTTGAACATTTAGCTGAAATGAACATTTTTATAAAAATAATATATTATCAACTGACTCAAGAATAAATAGAAAATATGAATAGTTCCATAACAAAATAGATTTCAAAGCAAAGGACATTATCAGAGATGAAAACAATAATTTCATAATGAATGAAAAAGTCATTTCATCGAGAGGACTTAAATCTAAACAGTTATACTCTTGACAAGAGAGCTGCAAAAATATTAAAAATTTCTACAAATGAAAATGGATAGAAATTCACAATTATGGACAGAGATTTTAATACTCCCTTCTCAATAATTGATAGAAAAAATAGACTTCCAATCTGTATGGCTGTAGAAGACTTGAACAACGGTATCACCCAGCTTTCCTTAATTGATACTGTATTGCATTCTACTCACCAGTAGCAGAGTGAAAATTCTTTTCATGGGCACATTAAACATTTATCAAATTTAACCATATTGTAGGTCATATATCCAATCTCAATAAATTTTAGAAGTTTCAAGTGTACAAATAATATTCTGTATTAACAGTGGAATTGAATTGGAAATCAATAACATAATGGTATTTGGAAAGTCCCCAAATATTTGGAAATTAAATGCCATAATTTAAAGTTTCTCATGAGTCAAGGAATAAACTTCAAAGGGAATTAGAAAGTATTTTGAATAGAATGAAAATGAAAACTCAACATTGTAAAATTTAGGGGATGCAGCCAAAATAGTGTTTTTTGGAAAATATAATAAAACCTGCTTACATTAAAAAGGAAAATGTCTCGGGGCCAGCGCTGTGGCTCACTAGGTTAATCCTCAGCCTGTGGCACCGGCATCCCATATGGACCACCAGGTTCTAGTCCCGGTTGATCCTCTTCCAGTCCAGCTCTCTGCTATGGCCCGGGAGGGCAGTGGAAGATGGCCCAAGTGCTCAGGCCCTGCACCTGCATGGGAGACCAAGAAGAAGTACCTGGCTCCTAGCTTTGGCTCGGCTTAGCTCCGGCCATAGCGGCCATTTGGGGAGTGAACCTACGGAAGGAAGACCTTTCTCTCTCTCTCTCTCTCTCTCTCTCTCTCTCTCACTGTCTAACTCTATCTGTCAAATAAATAAAAAATTAGCTGCTCTTTAAAAAAAAAAAGGAAAATGTCTCAAATCAGTGACTTAAGCTTCTACTTTATGTAACAGCCAAAGTCAATGAAGTAATAGAAATAATCAATGAAATTAAATGTGAATTCTTAAAGAAAATCAATAAAACTCATGAACCTCTAGCTGGACATATCAGGAAAAAAAGAATATTAGGAATTACCAGTTTCAGGAATGAGATAATGTACACCTCTGAAGACAGTAAAATTATGGAAAAGGAAAAGTTATAAAAAAGTTTATATCACTAAATTCAACAAGCTAGATGAATGGAGAATTCCTTGAAAAATACAAGTTACTGAAGCTCACTAAAGAAGAAATAGACAACCTGAATAGCCTATATTTATGGGGAAAAAAACAACTTGAATTGTTGTTTATAACTTTAACCTAAAGAAAATTCCAGGTCTACACAGCTTCACTAAAGGATTTTTCTAAACTTTAAAGGAATAAGTATCAATTTTACATAAAACCTTCTAGAACGATAAAAAGGTTTTCTTAACTTATTCTGTGAAGCCAGCATTAGGTTGATATCCAGATCAGAAAAGAACATGATAAGCAAATGACGAATATTCCTCATGAACATAGACACAGGAATGCCCAACACTATTTCATGAAATTTAGTATATAATAATGATAAAACATCATTGACCAAGTGGGATTTTTACCAGAAATTCAAAGTAGGTTTAATATATTAACAGACCAAAAATGTAGGCTAAAAAAGATCATTTCAAATTAACACAGAAAAAACATTTGGCAAAATTTATCACCCCATTGCTGATAAAACTTTCAGCATACTAGGAATGGAAAAGACTTCCTCAGCTGTATTAAGAGCATCTATGAATAATGTAAGCTAATGTTATACCTAATGATGAAAGTCTGAATGTATTCCACCTGTCATCAGGTACAAAGCAAGAATGTCTGCTCTCGTCACATGTGTTCATACAATAGATAAACATCAGGCAGATTTGAAACAATAAAAAATTAAAAATTTGGATCTCAGGCAGGCATTGTGGTATAGCAGATAAAGCTGCCACCTGCAATGCTAGCATCCCATATGGGTGCCTGTTTGGGTCCTGGCTGCTCCACTTCTGATCCAGCTCCCTGCTACTGTGCTGGGAAAGCAGCAGAGGATGACCCAAGTGCTTGAGCTCCTGTTCCCATGTGGGAGACATGGATGGAGTTCCAAATTCCAGCTTCAGCCTGGCCCAGCCTTGGCTGTTGTGGCCATTTGGGGAGTAAACCAGCAGGTGGAACATCTCTCTCTCTCTCTCTCTCTCTCTCTCTCTCTCTCTTTTAAGTGAATAAATAAATCTTTAAAAAATAATACAAATTTGGGTCTCATTGATATAAATTTGAGCTCTTCAAAAGACACCATTACAAGAAAAAAAGTCTCAGGTTGAAAGAGAATATTTTCAAAATGTACATGTAACAAAAGATTTATATCTAGAACCTATAAAGAACTTTTACAACAAAAGAGCACAGCAACCCAATTTTAAAAGTTAGTGAAAAGGGCTGGTGTTATGGCATAGCAGGTTAGGCAGCTCATTTCCTACAACACTCATATTGGAATGCTGGCTGGAAAATCACAGTTAGGTATCACTGTATACATAATACGTTGACTAAAATTAAAAAGACTGTTAACACCAAGTTCTGGAAGGGTGTCAAAGGAAACACCTATGGTTATATTACTGCCAGTAGGAATGTCAAATGGCATAACCACTTTGGAAAACAATTTGGCTCGTTTCTTTCTTTCTTTCTTTCTTTCTTTCTTTCTTTCTTTCTTTCTTTCTTTCTTTCTTTCTTTCTTTCTTTTTCTTTCTTTCAGATTTTATTTATTTATTTGAGGCAGAGTTACAGACAGAGGGAGGCAGAGACAGAGAGAGGTCTTCCATCTGTTCATCCACTCCCTCATGGCCAAAACAGCCAGAGCTGGGCCGCTCTGAAACCAGGAGCCAGGAGCTTCTTTCAGGTCCTCCACGTGGGTGCAGGAATGCAAGGACTTGAGCCATCTTCTGTTTTCCTAGGCCATAGTAGAGAGTTGGATCAGAAGAGGAGCAGCTGGTTCACAAACCAGCGCCCATATGAGATGCTGGCGCCACAGGCGGAGGCTTAGCCCAGTATGCCACAGCAGTGGTCCCCTGGCTGCTTCTTAAAACTTTAAACATATAACTGCTATCAGACTTAGTCATTCCACTTTAGGTATTACGCAAGAGAAAAGAATGCATATCTATGCACAAAGACTGGTATGCCAGTGTTTAACTTGGTTTGTCAAAAATTGATAACCTAAATGTTCCTCAGCAGGTGAATCAATATACAAATTGTGGGACTATCATACAATGGAATATTATTCAGCAATAAAAAGGAATAAACTATTTACTGATATATGTAACAACAAGGATAAATCTTAATACAATCATGCTGAGTTAAAGAAACCAAATACATCATTCAATTTATGCAAAATCAAAGTATTCCGTGGTAATCTTTAGGATAGAACCAGATAAATGTTTCTATTTGGAGAGTCAAGATCATGAAGAAACTTTGGGGTGATAGATATGTTCATTCCCTTGATCTCAGGGGTAGTTTCCCAGCTGTGTATGTATTTGTCAAAACACTTCAAATTGTGCATGTTGAATATGTGATTTTATATCACATTATTTGTATTTAAATAAAGCTATAAGATATGGTGACTTCAGAAAGGCATGTGAAGAAAAAGAGAGGAAATGATGGAAATCCAATTAAATAGATAACAGAAGTGTTTCTTTACCTGTTTGATTACTAAGGGATTCTCACTGGAAGTTTTGAAGCACTCTTTGATTTTTCTACTGGGCTCTGAAATGAAATTGATGGAAAATGTATTTAGATTAAACTGAAAAAAGAATTTCCAACACATGGTGCTGAACAGATCAGATTATGTCTGAATTTAAATGAAGGAAAACCTAGGAATCTGCTTATAAACATTAGGAAATTTATAGACAGAGTTGCATTCTAACAATATAGTAAAAGTATGTTGATATTAACAATGAATTCTATGTTCAAAATGATGATGTAAAATGCTTTCTTGACCTGGTGAAACTGATTTTAAAATTATAAATTTCAGACTAAGATATGTTTTTTTTTTTTTCCTGTTTTCTTGTCTACATAACCACTACTTCCTCTGCTTAAAAGACTCCATGGGAAGGCATTTGGCACCAGAGTTCAGCTGCAGCTTGGAATTCAGATCATGTCAGGGTGCCTGATTCAAGTCCTGGCTCCTTTGCTTCCAATTCAGCTTCCTGCTAACCCGCCCCTCCAGGACACAGCAGGTGACGGCTCAAGTACTTAGGTCCCTGCCAGCCACATGTGAGATCCAGAGAGAGTGCCAGACACTAGACTTTGGTTTGGCTTAGGCCAATTGTTACAGGTAGTTGAGGAGTGAGCTAGCAGATGAGAGAGTCTCTCTTTCTCTCTCTCTCTTTCAGCAAAAACGTTTTATGATTACTTAAAAATCACTGCTGCTATTTTTTTTTTTTTTGGACAGGCAGAGTTAGAGAGAGAGAGAGAGAGAGAGAGAGAGAGAAAGGTCTTCCTTTTCTGTTGGTTCACCCCCCCAAATGGCCGCTATGGCCTGCGCGCTGCGCCGATCCGAAGCCAGGAGCCAGATGCTTCCTCCTGGTGTCCCATGCAGGTGCAGGGCCCAAGCACTTGGGCCATCCTCCACTGCCTTTCCGGGCCACAGCAGAAAGCTGGACTGGAAAAGGAGCAACTGGGACAGAACCGGTGCCCCAACTGGAACTAGAACCCAGGGTGCCGGCGTCGCAGGCGGAGGATTAGCCAAGTGAGCCGCGGTGCCGGCCATTGCTGCTATTTTTTTAACAGCCCTATAGATCTCCCCTCCCTGCCCAGTGGTTTGCAAATTGTCTAAGGAAACATTTCATCAGTGCAGAGGGACTCACCAGAATGAGGCCGTGGGGGCACTTTGACCCAGTTTGGGGCAGGTGACACTCCTGAAACTCCTCTGCCAGGTATCTCCTGGACTGTGGTGCTGGGTGGCTCACTGTACTTGGCAACTGGTTTCTCTTCTTTCTCTGTGTGGTTACTCTGGCCAACACCCCACAAGGTTCTCAGTGCAATCTCATCATCATTCACAGTGCAGATTGGAATATTATTCAAACCTCAGCAAAGAAAAAAAAAGAAAACATCAAATGACAGGAATTAGATTTTTGGCAGATTTCCTTTGAAGGATCAGAAATTTCCCAATCAAAATTACAAAGTATTTGTAAAATGTTGGACTTCAAATTGTGTACACTGTGGTTAGGCAGATGTTCTTTGAAAGTCAGTGTAGCCAACTTTGTTTGCACACTTGCTTCCTGCCATCTGGTCACCTTTGAGAGGCCCACCTCTTTGGCCATGGTCTAGGAGTCAAGTGGAGCAGACCTGCTCTTTTCCCAGACTCTTCACTTCCCAGCTCCAGCCAATGACAAAGGGGCGTTGTGTTAGCCCGCTTCAGGAATGTCGGACTTCAATTGCTGAGTGCATCCAGAAGACCCAGTGTAACAGGGTCTTCTGAAAGAGGTTCACTTTTGTGCAGAAAGGTTAAAAGTTGTTGGAGCTAGGGATAGGCAATGGGATCAGGTAGATTGTAAGGGAACGGAGGAAGGAGAACTTGGAGCACAGGCCTTCTTCCTTATGTCAGACACTTCTTGTTCATTTACTCTACTGCGACAGATACTTGATTTTGTTCAAATACAGGATTTGGTTCAAATAGTAAATGACAGATCCTCTTTTTAAAAAAATAATGATACTCCTTTTATTATGGCTTTGTTTAAATAAGGTTAGAGTTTGTGAACTCAAGAGGCTTCCATAGCCTTGGCAGCTCATGACAAGAGCCTCCGGTGATTACTGATGCCATAAATAAGAGTGTCAATTGTTAAATCAACAACAGGAGTCACTGTGCACCTGCTCCCCATGTAGGATCTCTGTCCTTAGTTTGTTGTACTATGTGAATTAATGGTATAACTAGTATTCAAATAGTACTTTATACTTTGTGTGTCTGTATGGGTGCAATCTGTTGAAATCTTTACTAAATATATATACTAAATATATATACTAATATATATACTAAATAAATATACTAAATTGATCTTATGTATATAAAGATAATTGAAAAATGAATCTTGATGAAGAATGGGATGGGAGAGGGAGTGGGAGATGGGAGGGTTTGTGGGTGGGAGGGTGGTTATGCAGGGAACAACCGCAATAATCCAAAAGTTGTACTTTCGAAATTTATATTTATTAAATAAAGTTTTCTAAAAAATAATAATAATGCTATTCCTCAGTCATGTGGAAATGGAGGTGTGCAGGGCATTGCTCTCTGTGAGTCAGGGGGTTGTGAAAAATCCTAGGAGATGGTTGCTTTGTCTCCAAGAAGAGGGGACACTTCAGGAAGTATACAGTGTTTTTCATAGATGCTCTTTCTGCCAAATCTCCCGTAGTACTGCTAGTCCCCCCCTGCTTCTTATCTGTTTGCTCAGATAACGTAAACAAGGTCTTCACTGACAGCACTGTCTGAAGTGCCCTCCACCACTCTGTCCCCTGATGTTCTCTTATATTTTGCAGTTTTGTCACTCATTGTATATCTGCTTGCACATTGCTTGTCAGCTGCAGTACGATATGAGCTCCCTAAGAGCAGGGACTTTTTTGTCTATGTTTTGATTTCTGCTGTACTCTCAGTGCTCGGAACAGTACCTGACAGAAAATAGATGCTCTATGATTATTTGTTGAATTAATGAATAACACAGCCAAATATAAAGCTTGTGTTAAGTCCAGTACATAGAACTGGTAAAATGTGAGGAGAGGAGCCAGCAGGCCCTGCATTTGTGCAGCTAAGAACTGCTTCAGTGGAATATACCAGCAGATGCAAGAAATTCTCTCTCCCTCTCCCTCTTTTGCTCTTTCAAATAAATCTTTCTTTAAAAAGATATAAATTCCTTGGCATAATGTTCTGAACCTAAGTCTGGCCTCTGATCCACTAACTCTCCTTCCGCAGTCCCCAGTGTCACTTCCCTCCTCCTCACATGTTCCCTAACAGGCAACTTGATCTCTGACACAGTTTCCATGTGCTCTAGGCTGTGGGGCACTTGCTGCTCCCTTCTCTTCATTTGCACATTTAGCCATGATGTAGGCATTCTTATCACAGTCATTTCACAGAGCACCTTGATCCTCCAGACAGTCCAGCTCCTGAGACTAGACTTTTGTTCGTGTTTTCATTCCAAATACATGTCCGCTGAATCAATGAGTAGATGGATAAAGGAGTGAATGAATAAAGAGGCGATTAATATCCACGCCTCTAAGTATCACACCTACACTGGTGACTCCAGAATGTACACCTGTGCTCCTGGCTTCCCATTTGAGATCCAGCCCCTTCCATTCGGATGCCTGCTGTAACTACACAAGCAGGATGCCTACCACCCAGCAGACTTCATCATTGACTGGAATGTACACTTCTTGGCTGTTGTATCTGCCACATCTAGAACAGGAGATGGTATGTATTAGATATCAAACACCTGCACAGTGAAATGACCTTACCTTCTTCCTCTCAGTTTTCCTGTTTCATCCAAAGCAACAATGTTCAGCCATAATACTTGAAGAAGCATGGGAGGGAGAAGGACTTAGTCTGTTATTTGTTTCTCTTCTTCATTCTCTATACCTATCAGTCACTAGGACCTTTCATTTTTTTTTTTTCTCTACAATCTGTCTCCAGCATTCTCTTTGCCATTGTTCCATCTCATTGCTGGCAGCAAAGCAGAGACACAAGTCCTCGTGGGTCTGGACAGGTATGGCAGCCTCCTAATTTTCTCCAGCTCCAGGCCCTGCTATTCTTCCAATAAAGAATGCCTGATTTTTGTCATCACAGTGATTTTTAATCTCACTTTTTCTGTCACTCTTGTAGTATAACACTGTTCCATTTGTAGGAGCTTGCCATAACCACGTTTCTCATTTAGCAAGTGATGCTGCCTTCAGGAATATGCAAAGAAGGGATGAGGGTGAGGTGTGGGGAGCAACCCGGACTGGACTGAGTTACTGGAATTAAGACTTATTCTATGCATCTGCTCTCCCACAATATGGCGCTGGGAGAGGAGAAAACAGCTTCTACGCAGCTGCCTCTTGCCAACTTGAGTGATGACCTCCAGGAGCTGATCCTGCTCCTGATTGGAGGAGAGCAGCGTACTCGGCGTGTGGGCAGCCAAGTTGGGATTGGCGGAGGAGGACTATAAAGGAGGAGAGAGACAACATGCACCAGGAACATCTAAGGGGAACACCTGAGGAACATCTGAGCAGCCCCCGAGAGAGCCGGCCGGCGGTGTGCCGCTCCCCTGCGGAAGTGGGGAAGGTGGCAGGGGGCCCGCCCCTCCACGGAGGTGGAAGGGACGGTAGCCAACCCGGGAAGAACCAGCAGCAAACCCGGGGAGGGCCGAGCAGACAAAAGAACAGCGCAGGGTCCTGTGTCGTTCCTCCACGAAGAGGGGGAGCGACAGTGAGGGTCTGGTTTGATTATACCCAACAGCTGATGTTGACATGCTGCTTTGGGAGACCCATCCTGGGTGAATTGACTGGGTCCCTCTACCAAATGCAAACCATTCTGCTTGTTTCCATTCCTTCCTAATCTTGAGAAATCTTCCTCCCCAAACCATCAATATCCTTCCCTCTGCTTTTTCGGTTTTCTTTAGAGCCCAAAATATGCATACAAGGTCTATACTTTTTTTATTCCTCAAACTTACTAGAAATTGCCTTTCTCAGAAGGGAGATAACTGCCATTAATGTCTGATTCCCACGAAGTTTATGGTACAAAGTTAAAGCAAGAGAAGGAAGAGAGGGAAAAGAAAGGAAGGAAAGAAATGAGGGACAGAGGGTGGGAGGAGGCAAGGGAGGCAGGGTAAATATCAGGGTGATATTTAGCAGGGAAACACTGGCATGGCCGTGCAGGTGATTAAAATGTTGAAACACTTTTATAATAATTGGTCAGTGCTGTTCTGAGCTCCCTGAATGACCCTCGTTGGCTTGGTTACCCTAGACTCTCTTTAGGTCCCTGTCCTAGAAATCAAGTAGCCCAAGTGTTAGGTAGGAAGTAAGAAATGAGCTTATGTATGTGTGACAAAGGCCTAAGGAGTTGACATTGACATCTAGGTCCAGCATCCACATCTCAAAGTCATCCCGATAACCTTCCAGGTGCAGCCCAGTATCTGCACTTCAAACTTCCTGCCCAATCCTGATGACCTTCCAGGGGGTCCTGCCCCTTCTACCTGATAACCATCCTTCCTCTAAGGCGGGGTGATGCCAGCCAGGCTTCCTCTATTTGATAACTTCAGGGGGAAAACTCAGAAAGGAATTTTTCATATTTAAATCCAACAAGTCCTTTGTTTAGGAGGAGAAGGAGAGGGGGAGGGAAGGCAAGACCCATTCCCTTAAAAGCCCCAGCCTAAATGTAAACTGTGCACTCTGTCTCAGGTTCTGTCTGGAGAGGTGCCCATCCGTTCTTAATGAACTTTGCTATGTTGCTTTCCCCTGCTGTCTGTCTCATGCCTGAATTCTTTCTTACGCGAAGACAAGGACCCTTTGCTTCTCCAGTAACACAGGATCAGTGTTTGCCAGAGTAGGCTTGCAGGCCATTGCTCTAGTCGTACCTGGTCCCAGTTGTCAATGTCCTTGCCTTACTAGCAGTTAAACACCTGGAATGCAGCCTTGTGTTTACCCACCAGAATGATCACGTAGCTCAAATGGAGAGGAGACGCATCCTCAGATCTCAAGTCCCCTTACCTTTGATGTGGCAGACTCTCCTAGGGTGAGGGGTGTGCCTGACCAGAAAGCAATTTGCATTTCTGGCCCGGCTGCCTTTGCTCTCAAACTGAAGAGCAGCTGCCGGAGGTCTGCAGTTCATGCTCCTAGCTTGCTAGTTTTCTCCTCTCCACTGTCGGCAGAAACGTTCCTGGGATTGAACGTGACTGGCCTCACATCCAGCTGTGCTCAGATCCTGTAACCACAGAATGACAATTGAGGTCCTTGTTTTCTTATCCATCACACTGGTCTCCATCTTCTTGTTTGTACTGAATTATTTCTCATATTTAAGCAATGTGAAGCTATTTTGCTTTCAGATCCAATTTTAGTGAACATTGAAAACAGCATAGGCACACATGGAACACAAGAAGATTTTCCCTGGAGAAATCTTATTCATGAAAATCAAAGTGTGTTTTTAATGGCATTTAAGATCACTTCATTGGCTTATCAACAAAAAAATTATAGTTATTATTGATTTTGATATAATAAATTAAAATAATGGTTTTAAAACACAACACCTACAAATATGCTAGAGATTAAATTAGCTCTGAGTAGTTTTCACATTGTCCTTTAAGAAAGCTAGCATCTTAACTCTGTATCATCGTCTTAGAGTGTGGTAAGACCTGAGGGAGAAAAACAATCCAAAAAATATTATATCTACAAAGGATAAACTGCAGGATCTTTGCCATGCTGTTGTTTACAAAACTCAATGTTCTTTCAATCATCAGCGAACATTTATTAGACACCTACAGAGTCCCAGGGCACTGAAGATGCCCTAGCCTGGAGTGCACATCACTCAGACCCTCCCATGGCTTCTCCCTTCCCTTTGTTCATTACTCTGTCTCCAGGACTGGGCCTTCAAAAGGCCTCCTAACCTCTTGCCTAAAGGAGCATCTAGAACCAGCCCAACCTCAATTACTCTCTAACCCTTTCCCTCCTCAAGCTGTCCTCATGGTGTGTATTGCTCCCTGACTTTTAAAAAACACTTCTTTGTTATTTTATTCTTCTCTCAATAAGATATAATAATCAAGCAGACAATGATATAGCTAAGCTTTTTACCTCCATATTCCTGGTATTTAGAACTTGGTCTGCCACATAGTATATGCTCAGTAAATATTTATGAATTGGGAGAGAAATGTTTTCCACAGATTAAATATTTTAACCCAAAATCTCAGCATATTTTATTTATGTCATTTCCTCAAAATTAGATTTTTCCTTTAAAGATAATATTCTATGTCCTTAAAACAGACTTATTTGGCTTTGTCTTGAGAAGATGCATTTAAAGATCATTAAATAATACCTGAATTTATTGTAATGATGAATTGAAAATGATACCTGAGGATACAAAGCAGATACTGGTTGATAGGAACTCAAGTCTGTTGATACCTTCCCAGCCTTACAATGGGTCCAGACTAAGTTTTTGTTGGTTTCCTTAAATCTTTGTACTCTTGCTGGGAATTTTTAATTGACAAATAACAGCTTAACGTCCAATTCCTCCAAAAGAATACAGCTTCTCCCTCCAGTTTCTCCCACTCTCACTCCATGGAGCCTATGTTGCTCCCTGATTAAGATGCCCTACATAGCTTAGCAACGTGGAAACATTCCTTGAGAGAGATCTGAGTTCCAGAACCTCTTCAGCCATTAGTTCTCTTCAGTTACCTACAGGTCAACAAAACCATGTGGCAGAAATCTGGCGTTTACCAATTTTTGACATATAGTAGAATCGTATCAAATATAAAATAAAAAAGAAAGAGAAAAGAAAAAGCATGGCAAATCACAGTGATAATTACCCCCGCAATTCAGCTTCAAAAACTTGCCATGTAACGTAATCATGTAGGAGTTGTAGGAGTTGTCTACTCCTAAGGAACTGTGGTTTTTCTACTTATTGTTGAATTATTTATTTAGTGGAGGCTTAAGTGATTATAAAGTAAATTGAAAGTATGTGATGGTAAAAACCAAGAGAAAAACAAGAGAGGAAGGAGAGCAGAGGATGAGAGAGAGGGAGGGACAGTAGGGTACGAAGTATCATTATGCTCTTTAAAACTATATGTATGAAATACATGAAATTTGTTCTCTATATATAAATTTAAAAAAATGATGATAAGGTATGAATGATTTTAAAATTTTCTTAATCATTGTGAATGAAACACACTGTTCTAGTCATCAGGATGTTTGAGCCAGTGATTTGTTCAACAGCTTTGAAAAAGTGTTGAAATATCAAGTTAAAAATCATAGAAAAATACACACGTATGTATGTGTGTACTTATTACTTCCAGGAATGTTTGTATTGGTGCTTTCCATTATTTTTCCTTTTCAGAATACACATGGTTTTGAATTTCTGAGTAACAATCTCTGCAAGTAGTGTAGGTAACTTCTGAAAGGCAAATACTACTAAAAATAATACAAGGATAGAGCCCAATTTAGTCTATTTCCCGACTAGCCCTAAGAAGTAAAGGCTTACAACTTCTGTGTGCCTCTAATTCCCTTATGACTGATACCTCTCTGCTTTAATTTATTTTATGGTGGATTTAATTGATTTTCTAAGGTAATTTTGATGTTTTGAGATTTTCATTCCATACTTTGTACCAGTTAGGAAATTTCTTTACATAGCTAACAGCAGAGACCAGAAATAGTGCTTTAATCAAAATAAACACATATTTGCCTTCACATAAAAGAGCAAGAACCCAGAATTGGTTTGGACACTTCGTTGTGTCTTTATGGACTTCACTTTACTGTTGTCCATCTTTCTTAATATTTGGCTTCCATTTTTGAAATTATCTCTTGTTCAAATAGTTCCTGAAATTTCAGCCATCCAAGATGGATTCTACACTTTCAGACATCACATCCATCCTCTAAGCAGGAAACAGGAGGAAAGATAGATCTTGTCAGGCAAGGGCACATGCTGGCTATTTGCTCCATTTGTTTTTTTTTTGTTGTTTGTTTGTTTATTTTGACAGGCAGAGTGGACAGTGAGAGAGAGAGACAGAGAGAAAGGTCTTCCTTTGCCGTTGGTTCACCCTCCAATGGCTGCCGTGGCCGGCGCACCACGCTGATCCGAAGGCAGGAGCCAGGTACTTCTCCTGGTCTTCCATGGGATGCAGGGCCCAAGCACCTGGGCCATCCTCCACTGCACTCCCTGGCCACAGCAGAGAGCTGGCCTGGAAGAGGGGCAACCGGGACAGAATCTGGTGCCCTGACCGGGACTAGAACCCGGTGTGCCGGCGCCGCAAGGCGGAGGATTAGCCTAGTGAGCCGCGGCGCCGGCCCTATTTGCTCCATTTGTAAGAGCCTTTTCATGAGTCCTAGACAATAATATAGGTTGCATCGGTCACCTTTAGCCACAAGAGAGAACAGAAAATGTAACTTCTTAAGAGGGAACACTGCCATTCCATTCTAAAGTAGGGGTTTGGGGTTGGATGTTTTGTGTAGTGGTCAAGGTGCCACTTGGGATGCCCATATCCTATATTGGCATGCCTGAGCTTGAGTCCTGGCTCTGCTTCCAATTCTACCTTCCTGCTAATGTGCACCCTAAGAGCCAGTGCTGATGGCCCAGGTAGGTGGGTCCCTGCCAGCTATGTAGAGGACTTAGATCAAGTTCTAGGACCCTAGTTTTAGTCTGGCTCAGTTCCTGCTGTTTGGGAACATTTGGGAAATGAATTGGTGAATGTGACATCTCTTTCTCTCTCTCTCTGCCTTTCAAGTAAGTAAAATAAATAAATAAAATTTATAAAATAGGGGTTCAGTTATGAACAATAGAGGGAAAAAATGTATATTGGGTTGGACACAACACTCTACCCAAATCCTGACATCAGCATGAACCCTGTTTAAGAAAGATCTACACTCTTCTGTGATTGTGCCTTCCCTTAGAGAGGGCAATTTAAAATAAACATCTGTGTGGCTATGCAGCTGTACTTGTGCCATATTCCCTTTATGAAGACCCATAGGGGTCCTTTATGTCTCATTATAAAGAAAAATGACAAGCTGACTTATCAGGGAGTAGTTTGTATTAATTCTGTCTAAACTTAGGGACAGAAGGGGCTTTGCTGTACTGCTCAGGACAGCCTAAGTTTCCTTATTGCCTTAGATTCTCTGGAGATTTCTTGTAATATGTGTATAAATTTATGAATGGCAATTAGTGATTTTTAAAACATTGTCCTGGTTAATAGTGGGCAGGAAATGTCACAGGTTGTTGGTTATCCACACATATTTTGAGGTTCATTACAGATTGAGTTATGTCCCCTCAAAAAAGTCATATGTTAAAGCACCAAACCCTGTTGTGACTATTTGGAGATAGGGCTTTGAAGAAGGAAATTAAGGTTAAATGCAGTTATAAGGTAGGGCCCTAGTCTGATACAACTGATATCCTTACAAGAGGAGGCAAATGTATTTATAATTATTGTATAATCATCATGGATTGTCTCATTATTATACAATATATCTATTTCTGTATTTGAGTTAACATCTATTTTGTTGATATTAGTGTACCATTCTAGGTTCCTTGTGGTTTTTGTTTGCCTGATACATCTTCTACTTTCAATTTCTTTGTGTGTTTCCAAATATAAAATGTATCTCTTGTAGGTAGCATAGAGTTTGGTTATATTAAAATAACTTTTCTTTTTCTTTGCATTATTTAATTCATTCACAGTTATTATTATTGACATAGTTAAATTTACACTGACCATTTTACTTATTGTTTCTCTGTGTCTCATGTCTTTTTAATGTGTATATTCTCCCTTTACTGTTTTTTTGTATTAAATGAAATAACAGAAATATTTCCTCAAAACTTTAGATTTCTTTAATAATTTTTCCCACAAAATTTTTTTGTTTTATCCTTACTGATTGCTCTAGGACTTACTATATATCTAAATCAATCAATACAGCTTCAGATTTGTACTAAATCCCCATAAGATATACAAACAATACTTCTATTTATATACTTTTTTTTATTTTGCGGTACTACTGTTATACATGCCCCATCTAGAAGGGTTACAAATCTGTTATTATACTGTTATAATTATTACTTTATATGACTTTTGTCCTTTAAAGATGCTTAAAGATGAGGAAATACATGTAGTCTTTTCTCATGTTCACAGTAGTTAAGTCTGATTAAAACACATGCTCCTGTAAGACTCTGGTCATATTTTTACCAGTAGATCAATACATAGCCTCATTTTTTTGTGTGTTTCTGTTAAAGACATCTTGCTCATTACAAACTGCCAGTCTTGAGTATTAAAATCATGGGCAATACCACTATAACCCATGCCTGAAAGTGGCTGATCTAGCGTGTATTTTCTCCAAAGGGCACATCCAGACTTTCTTGTGCCTACACATGTCTGACAGAACTACATTATTATGCACCAGGGCTATTTTAAAAAATAAACATTACAAACAAAATATAAAAATAAGAAAAAAGTTTATATTTAATAGACCACAAAAAAGGATATTCATTTAAATTGAGAGCTGAAACAAGCAGAGTGTTGCCTTGTCCAATCTCAGGAACAAGTATGTGAGAAGATCAAAGTTTTTGAAGCTCTACATATATCCAGGAATGACTGAAAAAGCACTATGAGTATTGAATATGGGATTATAAAGAATTTTTGTATGCATACTAATTCACAAATAAGAAATGTAGGAATACTGAGTCTCAGTCTTACCTACAGCTTTTGTTATATTAATTTTCTCACTTCTTATTTATGAGTCTCTTCATTTGTTCTTATGCATTCAAGTTACCATCTGTTATTTCCTTAGCCCAAGAGAGCTTCATTGCCAACTACCTCCTTTGTGTTTTTATTGGCGAGCCCATAAAAATTCCATATACCATAGGCTTCACAAATATATGTTTATTTTTATATAATTACTTTTTAAATAAGAGAGGGAAGAAGCAAAAATATTCATTTATACTATCTTTTACAGTTACATAATTACTTTTGATGGTGCTCTTTATTATGTGGATCAAATGACTGCCTTGGCCACTAACTTTCAGCCTTTAAAGAACTTCCTTTAGTATTTCTTGTCAGGGGGGAGAGGCATTTGGCTTTGTGGTTGAGACCCCATTAGAACATCTGCATCCCATATCAGAATCCCTGGGTTGAAGTCCCAGCTTCCTGCTAACTCAACCTTGGGAGACAGCAAAAGATGACTCTGATACTTGGGTTCCTGCAACCCACATGGGAGAGCCGGAATGAGTTTTCTAGCCTGGTGAAGTCCTAACTGTTGCAGGTATTGGGAAGCAAACCAGCAGAGGATGATCTCTCTCTCTCTCTCTCTGTAAAAATCAATTAACTAATAGAAAACAGCCTAAAAATTATTTCTTGTAAGGAAGATCAGCTAGCAACAAATTCTCTGCTTTCATTTATCTGGAAATGTCTTCACTTCACCTTCATTTGTAAAATATAAGATGGCTAAATATGCCATCCTTGGTTCACAGTTTTTTTTTTTCTCTTTTTCTTCACATTTTATTTTTAACATGTTATTTGAGAATAGTGTTAATAATACAGGGAATTTCCATATACCTATCACCCCATTTTCCCTGTTAACATCTCTTAAGTTTTCCTTTGAGCACTTTGAGTGTTACTGCACTACTCTCTAACCCCTAT